CATCTCCAAACTCCCTATTCTGACCCCTTCCTCTCCAAGAGCTCCCCACTATCACCCCTCTCCCCAGCAGCTCTCAACTGTAACCCCCTTCCCTCTCCAAGAGCTCCCCACTATCACCCCTCCACTCTCGTGTTCTCACCCACTTATAATACGCCGCTGCAGCCCTCCACCCACTTGACCTCACACTGGAGGTGTCGCTGGGGACAGACGTCCCTTGTGCCTCACCCTCCATTCTTACCTTCCCCCACCACACAACGGCTGCCTCACCTCCCCAACATTATCACTACCTGTTGGCTACCTGCAATAATAAACTTTTTTCCCCTCGTAACAGCAGGTGATTCGCCGCCGTCTAGTCTTGACAAAAAAAATAGGCAGGACGAACAGCAATTTCTCTGTGCCTGTGGGTTTCATGACCTTCACGTCAACAACGTTATCTTAAGATCCACATTAAACAAACTGTTGTTCTTAGGAAGTCGCTTTAGGGCCTAGAGGTCGCACAGAAGCCGTCAGAAATCCAACAGAGTGATAGGGGACGCTAATCGGTCCTTGACAACAAGGAACACACACTCTCTCTTCCCCTTCTCTCTCTGACCAGATAATCTAGGTTGCAGGAACTTCACGGAGCCTACGAAAATCTATCCTGATATTTTCCCAGAATGAGGAACCTCTTCGAACACCAGAGCCTACAAGAACCTAGGAAGATAATCTCCCAGGAGGAGGCAGTAGCCTAACCGAGCATCGAAGCCTACGAGAACTTAATCAAATATTCTCCAAAGCCTCCAAGAACCTAATCAGATAATCTCCCAGGAGGAGGCAGTAGCCTAACCTAGCATCGAAGCCTACGAGAAGTTAACCAAGTATTCTCCAAAGAGGAGGCAGGAGCCTCACCAAGCGAGGAGTGGGCGCCTCACAGCCACGAAAGGGAAGAACCTGTTAGGAGTCGCTTGTCACAATGACCTTGTGATGAATCCTCATCAGTGAGCGACTGTCTCTTACCCAGACTCCTGTCTGACTGTCTAGCGTATACGCCTGTATGAGTTCATACACCCACAACTGTACTTTTCACTGTATAGAGGCTACAATGGCCATTATTATTATTATTATATAAGGCACTCATATTATAATTTGAATAATGAGTGTTATGATTAATTGAACAGAAAAAAACAACACTGAACAACGCGAGGCTGGTCATTGTTTACACCCAAATGCTTTCACTCGTGGGTTCACTCTGTTCTTAATGGTTCCCACGGCGTCTGCTGTTGTAACTTTATTAGCCATTATGTTCCATTCACCCACGACTCTCTCGCTAAACAATCATCATATTTATTTCCATATTGTTGTAATAAGAAAAAACACACAGAAATTATTGTTTATAAATATATTAGTGACATTCAGGGGATTAATGGTATGGTCTTTAAAGTTCTAAAAACCCTAATCAATCTTACGACCGTGTTTGATTGTCGTGTCAACGATTAATAGTCGTGTCAGTTATTGACTATCGTATCAACTATTGACTATCGTATCAACGATTGACTGTCGTGTCAACGATTGACTGACATATCTTTGGCTATGCTAATCTTGATCATCAGAGAGTGTACCGACGTCGTAGTGAGTGACAGGTGGAGGGGCGGTTATATCGTACTCGACTGGTTATCGCTGAGGTGTTAATACCCCTCGGTCCGGAAAGTCGGTTTAGACGGCGCCTTTCTAGGTCATGTGTGATCCGAAGCTTGGGCTAACTGCCGGGTACCCTTTGACTGTTAGAGGCATCAAGTGAAAGGAAATGTAGCCCGGCAATTCGAACCCGGGATTCCGTGTTCCCTGGCAGAATAATGCTCCTAGGTAAGTGATACTTTAGGTACTGCTCACTCACAGGTTTCAAAACAGGATACTTTCACCGGTAGGATATAAGGAAGGATACTATTAACTAGCGTGTTAAAAAGCAGGATAATATCCAGTAGCAGGATGCAAATATGATTCCCTAAACGAAGACACGGCGAACAGACAGGATATTTGCCTCTCAGACAGGATATTGCTTCTCAGACAGGATACAAGGCAGGATAATGCAAGGGAATGAGGTAACAATTAGTGTGTTACGTCATTATGTAGGTACCTTTCCTCCCTCCCTCAAGTGCATAAACACACTTCACCCACTATAATGATATTATCCTCCTGACTGCACCGTTTATTGAGACAATAAGATGCATCTCAAAAGGATAGAGTAGCTTAGGCTATTTCTACCCTCTGCTTCAGATCCGTCGCGGGGCACACAAAACCATACGTTACACAAATCATATTCTACATTACACACTCCAATAGGCATCTTATAGAACTTATTACAAACTGAATTTTAGTGTTACACTCTTGGGGCAAAGTCCATATACCTCCTATAAGAATTCTCTCTATCATTCCATTGTCACATCCAAACAAATTGATGTGGTACACTACTGATTTCTTATTTCTATAGTTACCAAGCAATTTATACACTAATACATGGTGATCTAAGGTGTGAGCGTACAGCATACTACATCTTCTTCACTAACCGTATTACCAAAAATTATTTATATCCTAACGCACTACATATACACAAATGCCCCACGCCCCACCTCCCCTAAATCCTAGCCCATCACAGCCTATCAACTCATCCTCAATCCCCCCTTCCCCCCAGATATTGCAACATCACTTTCTTGCAAAAATATACTTATATGTTTATTTTACTTTCAACACGTCTGTTGATACTGAGCCGCAAGGAGTCATGGTGAGTTACCATTGATGTTCGACGGGAGACGTTCACAGCGCCGAGAACGTCTTTAGGAAATTGAAATTGAAGTACGTTTATTGAGTTATAAATACACTCAATAGGATGAGGTAGTTCAAGCTATTCTCACCCAATCAAAAACGTATATCTGGTCCACACATCTCTAACGTCGCACAAGAGGTCCACGCCACAGAAACCTCACTCACTCGTCTGACATACTAAAAATAATCTCTTGATAACGAGTATTTTCAACTTAATTTGTGCTGAAGTAAAATACATGTACAAAGCATGTTGGGATGTCTGTGTGCAGGACGAAGGAGTTTAGTGGAACGGGAAAAGGGGGGATTTTGTGAGACGGGAAAAGGAGGGGGGGGATTTAGTGGGAAGGGGAGAGAGAGAGAGAAAGGATTTAGAGAGGTCTTCAACTTGGAGTAAAATGGTCAGGATGCAGGTGCAGGCAGGATAGACTGTTATCACATAAACATACCAAAAGGTTGTACCAGATGCGCATTATATGACACAGTTTACGGCCACAATAGCTAGATTCATCACCCTTATGAAGACTGGTGTGTTAGGAGTTTTTTGTGTGGGAGAGTCGCGCCCCTGAATATCTGCCTACGACTGGTTATGACGTCACGGCGGCCACTTGCCGCAAGGATACCGTTTATCTCCTTGTCTATTTCTCAATATGATGATAGACATTCTAAATTGGCAGTCGAGAATCACATTAATTCCACACAGCGGAATTGTGTTAGCGCTACTCTATTTTTAGAATTGGGAGCATATTTGTTTGTGGTATATTTCTATGAGGCATAGAAATAGGGTAGATGTTTATGATCTGTTTTGTGTTATGTAAACAATTATCATGATTGCGAATGAATTTACATTATCCTTATTATTCAACCAAATAGTTGGGTTATGTTATATTATTATTAAGCTTAAAGGAGATTATTAGTTTTGTGTACTGCAACAAAATCTCGATTGTTAATAGCAATCAGCAAGATTTATTAACAATCCGGATAGTTAAAGGATTTTACCAATTCAACACATCCACCCCACCAAAAACCCACCTATCTACCCAAAATGCCAAAAACCCAATCTATACTCGGCCTTTTGCAGTTTCATCTATATTTATGTGCTTGTGTTCCTATTAAAGACCCCATGGGGGCGGGGGAGGGGAAATTGAGGGGAGAGAGAGTTGCAGAATGGGTATAAAACCAGACAAAAATATTCAGAAATCCTACACTGTGATACAAATAGTAGATTTCCATCACTAACTAGTACATCAAGTTTGTAATGGGTTGTTACACCTTTCACACAAGATATTTTCTGTCTAGTGCGGTTCGATTGTGTTCGCACTCGTTCATGGATTGCATTTTGAGGTATATGGATAACGTACAACATGTCCATACGACGTGGCAGCCTTTTCTTTTATCATGGGTGGACATTCCAAGCTATTAAACATTAACCACTATGTCAGAAAAACCCACACTAGCTTTGCCAGACGTCTCATAATGCACCTGGTTCCGGTGCCTGCACTGCGTTGGGCAACTTGTCCTTGCTGGCGCAGTATTTTTCTCCTTGTATGCAGTGTTTTCCCCCTCGATAGGCGTTCTAACCCAAGCGTTGAGGGTTATAACTCCCTATAACAAAGGCAGAGTACATACGGGTAATGAGTGAAACCCTAAGGACTAGGCGTCAGAGGAAACCTGTAGACCTTTAGAGGATTCAGTTGAATTTCAAGTTTCAGAATTTTTGAGCATGTCGTGGTTAAGTGGTCTAAGGCGTGTCCTTGGGAGTACTCAGTGTGTGCAAGTTCAAATCCTCCTCATGGCTTCTACTGATTTTCTCATTGATACCTCACGTTAATGTGATTTCTTTGTGCATTATTATTCTTGACAGGAGAAGCATTGGTTTGATATCTGGAGGGCAGTATGCAATAGTCCTTTCATGTTATAAACTTCGATAGCTAACACACTTCATCAGTCAGGATAATAGACCAGTTCTTCTCCCATAAGTCATCTATGCGTACTAGTGGCTTTAGGTATTGTATGTACTAGCTCTATCTATAAATCCAACATTATATTTGTAAATCAACTATGTATGTACTTTCCTGAATAAAATTTACTTTACTTCAGCTTTTTATCCTGCAGATAGCTATCTATAAATATAATAACCCCAAGCCTTTTCCCACAGGAAAACTGCCAGATTTACACAAATACTCACAGACCGCCTATTACAGGTAACGTAGCAGCGTACCTTGATCAGGATGGTGCTGGTGGAACTGCTGTCGGGGCTGAGCGGTCTAGTGAAGGTGAAGAACTGTGCAGACATCGACAGTGCCGTCTTCAAGCTTCACTACCGCCTTACAGCCACCTTGCTCTTCGGCTTCTGCCTCCTCGTCACCGCCAACAGCCTAGTCGGTGATCCTATAAGGTAGATAGGCTTCTCTTATCTTCTCACTTCTTGTCATTTACCAGTTTCTCTTATCTTCTCTCTTCTTGTCATTTACCAACGACAAATATAATTCTTTTGTTATAAATTAGGATGTGGACATGTAAATAAAATTATTAGTTGAATGCATAAAGCCTAACACATAGTAATTGTTTTACGTATGTATGTATATGGGAAGCAAGGTGATTAATATTAGTCTAGAATCAAGTTTACTGACAATTATACTACTGTAAATGTAATGTAGTATTTTCCTTGTAAATTGATGTATATATGACTTATATTGTACATTATTTAATAAAGATAAAAAAAGAATCAAAACAGTAGCAATAATAGCTAAATGTAAACTAATAACAAGAAAGTAGGTACCGGGAGGTATACCCAGTTGACCTTAATAACCCTCTAGAGTGATTGCCCTATAGCCTAACTACCAAACCAAACAGCAAACATAATAAACATAATAACAGTAGCTTTAACACCGTATTAACATCAATACTAACAGAAACATTGGGATTTAATACAACTATTAACAACAGTAAGTGGTCTAGAACAGGCAGTTCAACACTAGCAATGACTGCACTAAATCCCTCAGAGTAACTAGTAACACCTGTAGTTCTCACTAGCCTGACTAATAGCATGGGTGGTATTGTACCTAGCTGTGTGCATGACGCCCACCCCAAGATGCCAGACAAGGTGGTCAACACCTACTGTTGGATACACACTACCTTCACCCTCCCCAAGTACATCAACAAGGGTTACGGTCGAGGTAAGGACTCATCACCCGGGATCTAATGTGGTTTGCATATTTGAGTCAACTTAAATGAAATCAGATGTTTAGATGAATCTATAGTTCATGTAAGCTTGCTCGTTCCACTATTTATCTTGGATTCATGGATAATATACAGCGACTTTTATTTATCCAATAAATCACAAAAATAGCGGCTATTAGAGTTTCTTATTAGTGAAAAGCTTAATGCAGCCCAAACATATGATTCATGTTATAGGAATTAATGTTACAATATTCTGCCAGGTACAGGAGTAGTGTATCCAGGTGTGGGGCCTCACACACCTTCAGACAACCTCATGTATCACGCCTACTATCAGTGGGTGCCCTTTGTACTCTTTCTTCAGGTGGGTTCATTCATCATCATCTCCCTTCCCATCTATTTTATCCAAGATATATATATATATATATATATATATATATATATATATATATATATATATATATATATATATATATATATATATATATATATATATATATATATATATGTGTGTGTATATCACGAAAATAAACACGTGATTAAGAATGTGACAATGTCAGACCACGGAGGAAAAATGAAACAGGAAATTTCCTTAAGTACTTTCGTATATTAAATACATCTTCAGAAGGTCCTTCAGAAACCTTCTGAATATGTATTTAATATACGAAAGTACTTAAGGAAATTTCCTGTTTCATTTTTCCTCCGTGGTCTGACATTGTCATATATATATATTATATATATATATATATATATATATATATATATATATATATATATATATATATATATATATATATATATATATATATATATATATATATACTTTTATAATTTTAATTATAAAATTTTATATTGTTTATATATTTCAGTACATTGTACATGTTTTGTCATAGTGTAAAATTTAAATATAGTGTCAAATAATTTTTTTTACTAGATTTCTAAGTCTGATTGAAAGGGATTTTGTATAGCTTATCTTAAGATATAGTAAACCTTCTTGATATATACTTACCAGCCTTTCAAACATGTCCTAAATATTTCATGCAGCCTGGGACAGCAAACTGTGTAAGTTGCACAACTATGTACTCTGTAGATGATGTAAGGATCTGCAGACAAATCAAAGATTTTATTCGTAAGTCGTTGTATCTTTATCACTGGGTAAGTTTACATGAAAATTACAGTATAATAATTGTGTCACAATAACAGCATAGAATGTGATTAGGTGGTTATCCCTTCGTACATACAATACAATACAATACAATACAATTTTATTTAGGTAAGGTACATACATACAATAAATATTTACAAGGATTGTTTAACTTATAGGTATAGCTAGTACATACAACGCCTAAAGCCACTATTACGCAAAGCGTTTCGGGCATAGTGAAGGTGAAGAACTGTGCAGACATCGACAGTGCCGTCTTCAAGCTTCACTACCGCCTTACAGCCACCTTGCTCTTCGGCTTCTGCCTCCTCGTCACCGAGAGATATACACACGTATACATACTTTAAGGAGGCAAAGAACTGTAGTATTCAGTAGGAATTGGGTAGATTTGTCGAGACACAATATGTGGACCTATATCGTTGGATCAAACCTTTACAAATTGGACACTGTAACATAGTGAGAACGAGCTGTATTTTCGGGTTAGGTAAAGGGTGAGTATCTTACAATGTCATCTTTCTGCGACACGAGAGTCAAGTGTTCCAGTTCGTGACCATTTGACCCAGTTTTCTGGCAAATTGACCTCACCTATGAGGGGGATTTTAGAGAGATAGGTGTCACTGCAAAAATAAAACAATTGACCAACGAATTTTAAATCCTATCTACCTACAGGTAATTTAAGTTTTAAGGCGTCTGCATGGCCCCTCGACTGCCAGGATACTAACATTTCCATTTACTGTATTTCTAACCTTAAAGTCTAATTTAATCCAAATTAGAGTTCTATATTAAAGTAAAACTGTCAGTGTATATACTGAGTCACACCCTGTGAGAATATACTACATAGACCTTAATGATTGTATTTCATACACTGATAAGATCATGTGATTTATGAGTGCAGGTGTGCAGTGTATATTATAATGCACGTAGTATATAATCCTCTTGGTGACTGATATTGATCCGCTTATCAATGCTAATAATGTTATGATGCGCGTTGCATTGGATCCCTTTGTTGACAAACATTGATCGACTTGTCGGAGACAGGAAGCTTGTTACTTGGGCTGGACGGTAGAGCGACGGTCTCGCTTCATGCAGGTCGGCGTTCAATTCCCGACCGTCCAAGTGGTTGGGGACCATTCCTGTCCCTCCGTCCCATCCCAAATCCTCATCCTGACGATGATGATGAAGATTAAGCCACCCAAAAGGTGGCACGGGCATGAATAGCCCGTAAGTGGTGGCCCTTTTGAGCCATTACCAGTATCAAGAGCTGATACTGGAGATCTGTGGAGGTGCCCTCCAGCTGATTAATAAGCTTAAATTCCAGCACCCAAACCAATACTAAATGATATTATTTTGAGTTAAGTACTTATCAAGTAAAGGCGGCAAGCCGATAAGAATATAAATATAATTTGAGTTGGGGGTGTTAACTGATTTTGAGTTCAAACCTGCAAGTGTATTTGTTTTAAAACTAGCTGTTGAATTTGAATTCAAATCAAATCAAATCAAATATTTATTCAGGTAAAGTACATACATACAAGGTGAGATACAAAACGTTGATGGATTTATAGATAGAGCTAGTACATACAAGGCCTAAAGCCACTATTACGCAAAGCGTTTCAGGCAGGAAAAACACTAAGACTAAAACTTAATACTTTCTAAACATAAAACTTTAATACTAATAATAATTCTAATTCTCTCTCATAGGGTCTGATGTTCTACGCACCGCATTGGTTATGGAGGACGTGGGAGGGAGGTAAGCTGGAGTCCATAGTGATGGGCCTCTCCGTACCAGTCATGAACAGAGACGAACGCCGTGAGAAGATATATCTCCTAGCCGAATACCTCCACTCCTCTATACACTACCACAACTTCTACGCCATCAAATTCTTCCTTTGTGAGCTGCTCAACTTAGGCAACTCGCTGTTCAATATGTGGTTTTTGAACAAGTTCCTGGGAGGGACATTCCTCACATACGGTATTGATGTGTTGTATTTCACGGAGACCAACCAGGATGAACGAACAGACCCGATGATTGTGGTTTTTCCCAGAGTGACCAAGTGTAACTTCAACATGTACGGTCCCTCAGGGTCTATCGAGACCCACGACCTCATGTGTGTCCTAGCCCTCAACATCATCAATGAGAAGATATACGTCTTCCTATGGTTCTGGTTCGTCATTCTGGCGATCATTAGCACCTTGGCGCTCATTTACCGACTTCTAGTGTTCTGTGTACCTGCTATCCGGTCAGGCCTCCTGCAGAAGAGGGCGAGACTCCGCTACAAGAATGGCCTCGACATTATTACAAAAAAGCTTCAAGTGGGGGACTTCTTTTTGCTTTATCTTCTAAGCAAAAATGTGGAGCTCGTCTCCTTTAGTTCCCTGATGGAAGAGCTGTCGTCTCGCCTAGCAAAGAGACCCGTCCATCCGGACCTAGAAGTCTCGGCGCCACCCCAAATACCCGAACGTTACCCCCTTATAAACGAAAATGCGTGACGTCACTTCTGAGTTTTACTTCAAACAACAAAAAGCTGTATAAACACCACAGACTGTTATCATCTTAAGTTTGATGCTTAGATTGTAGTTGACCTTCAGTAACGGAGTGTTCCACAGTTATCTCCTTATTAGAGTAATGTCTGACGACCATCGCATTTGTCATGCGTGGGATGATTAGTATTAATTGTTAAAAAATGATGATAATTTGGATTAAACTGCTTTGTTTACCGATTTGACATGAATGGGGGCTATTTTTACATGGATTTACTGGTGTGGAAGATGTTGGTGAGTACTTACCTAGTTGTACTTACCTAATTGTGCTTGCAGGGGTTGAGCTCTGGCTCTTTGGACCCCGCCTCTCAACTGTCAATCAACTAATGTACAGGTTCCGTACATTAGTTGAGTGTGTGTATGCTAAGTGTGTGATGTAGTGAGTGTTGGTGCTTGTGCTTGACGTGGTGAAAGTTGAAGTGTGGAGTTTAATGTTATGAATGTTACTGCTAGTTTGTGGAGTGACGACAGATCCCTTTAAACGTTATATATCGAATGAATAAATCAACATTTACTGTTGCAGCTCAGCTGTTCTTGACCAATATTTGAAAACAACAAAGAAGTTAGTGTTTTGCTTTATCCTATTCCAGCTTAAACATTCTGTTTATTTTATAAGACCGCAGTTAAAATCCATACAATCCCGAATTAAACTATTCAATTTTCTTATTATGTCTTGTCTTTATGAACAAGTTATACACGTAATATTACCCTTAGATTCAATAAAGTACTTATTGTACAAAACAAGTTGCCTTAATGTTTTACGGCAAGTCAACTGGAAAGGAAATGACAAATTTCCTACTGTAAACATATAAAGACAAACCAAGACTCCTGGGAGCCAGCCAACCCGTTCTCGCACTTGCTTATAGTCAATATTCGCTTATTTAATAAGTGCATATGTAACATACTAATTGATTGTAAATATTCTAGTTTACCTTGAAAAGCTTCATAGAAAACACCGACCTCACCTAACCTTCTTAGTATGTTAAGATAAGCATCTTATTGCTTCTTAATTACAATTATTACTTAACCTATACCGTTGATACCGTCTGAAGTCTGTCTTAGATGTGAATAATAAGCCGTATTGGTGGTTCTTACGTTAAGATTGGCATCTAGATTACACTTATAAGAGGCGTAATATCGATTATTTTTAATATAATGAAGATTTTAGACTTGCTAGGGAGTCCAACCTGTATGTATATTTAATATTTTAAAGTGTGCTGTTATGCACGTAAGAAAAAAAGAGTATGAAGCAGCAGAGTTTATTAAACGTTCTGCTCGGATGTATTTCCTCAGGAATAATGAGAAATGATTGCACGCGTCAACCCACATCGTGCTGTTCTCCACATCATCTGCATATTTAGTGTGAAGAAAAAGACAAAGTTCATACTCAGAGCTTGGGTGTTATCTTTCTCTCTAAAACTTACTGTACTCTGTGATAAGGAACGGAAGCTGGTAGTCCAGCCTGTAGGAGATTAGAAATAGCACAAGCTGGCGAGGAGTTACAATAACGTGGCTGAAGTATGTTGACCAATCCAAACACTAGAAAATGAAGGGACGACTACGTTTCGGTTCGTCCTGGACCATTCTCAATCGACTTGAGAATGGTCCAGGACGGACCGAAACGTCGTCGTCCCTTCACCTTCTAGTGTGTGGATTGGTCAACAATAGCACAAGCTACTCTAGCCTGTGTGTGACAGTAGGATAGCTACTCTATCCTTTTGTAATGCTTTTTTAATATTATTATCTTAATAAACTTCAACTTCACCCTCAAGCGTGCAAGCTTGCTCTTGACCAGGTCCTCGATTAAAAGCTTATTTGGGTTAGCAGGCCATACAACTTATGAACAAATAGAGGGTGAGAGAGCTGCCAGGCTTGCCACACTCTTAAGTTCCCAGAAGACTAGCATCATTGTTCTTGTAGGTCGTGACTGGAAGGTGTAAAACACACTTCAGTCATTATGCATTGTAAATGTCAAACTTTATGTCTTACAAAAAGCTATAGTGAGCCAATGGTAGCCTGTAATTAGCTTCTGTTACCAGATATAGCCTATTAAGTTGATGAAATACAGTTCCTAAACTGATAAAAACTCCTTTGATTCCTAAAATAACAAAATACATAGGACACCTAAAATAATGATACCAAGGTTACCTAAATTAATAAAATAGTTATTGTACCTAAACAAACAAAATATCACAGCAAAACAATAACACAGAAAATCGAAACAAATCAAATTCCTAAGATACTTAAAATAACAAAATATATAAGAACAAAAATATCATAAGAATTAAGGCACCTGCAGAAGGCCTACGAGGCAGTTCTTATTTATATCCACCCAAACTCATTTATATATGTCTAACCTATGTCTATGTACTTATGTAGTACAGTATTTCAATAACAAGAGGAACATAAGTAAGACAATAACAACTAATTTGAGGAGTGCCACAGATTCCTGGGAGACCAGATTTCATTTAGTATTATATGATTTATTTTGTATTATATTAAATAAAGATAAAAGAAAGTATTAGCGTGACAATCTACAGAGGCAATAGATCAAGGCTTCTCAACCAGGGGATGGGGTTTATATAGGGTTTCAGGAGGGAGGTGGCGAATTGAATAAAAATATCACAAGTAAATATATACCAATATCGAAAATATATATATATAAATAATTTCAATAGTTTATGAATTTTAAATTGAAATGCAAGTTTTGAGTCAGGCGATCTTAGGAAAGGGGGGGGGGGGAGTATGACATTCTAACATATTGTGAAAAGGGGGAAAAGTTTGAGAACCACTGCTATAGATTTTTCCTCTGAAGAAAGATGAGTCAATCAAGTGTTTACACTTGATTAACTCACACACATGGAGTATACACAACCACTTAAATGGTTGATGAAGCCTCTCCCAGAAGCCTAGGCATATGTCTTTGTCTGCTGGGGGAAAAACTGACAGGAGTTTACTTGAATAAGATAAGAAGAATTCCAAGAAAACAAGAATTCTTAAAAACAGCAAAATGATATGAATCCCTTTAATTTTTTTTTATAACAAGCCATTTTTTATTAACACTGCCAATCAAATATGTAACAACATCCATAATAACACATCCCATATTATCTTAAGCAATAAGTGATAAAGTTATAAACAATAACTGGAAAGATTCAGTTACAAGTTACCACTGGAAATAAACCACATGATATCAAGACGACTTACTCTCATGCCGTCCTTCATATTATTGGACAGGGAAATGTGAAACTTCATTAACCCAATTATGTCTTGGACAATATAAGAATATCCCATAGAAATATGAGGAACGACGTAAGAATATCCCATGGAAATATGAGGAACGACATAAGAATATCCCATGGAAATATGAGGAACGACATAAGAATATCCCATGGAAATATGAGGAACGACATAAGAATATCCCATGGAAATATGAGGAACGACATAAGAATATCCCATTGAAATATGAGGAACGACGTAAGAATATCCCATGGAAATATGAGGAACGACGTAAGAATATCCCATAGAAATATGAGGAACGACGTAAGAATATCCCATGGACACTTCATGGACAAATCATGAGAGTACCACAATGGTACTTAAAGGACAAGACTCAAGTAAGTAATTATGTAAAGAATGCACAAGCCGGGGAGACAATGTAACACCATCAGTCGCTGGATATTAAAAAGACGCTAATTATCACCAAGGAAGCCAAAATGAGAATAAAAACACATAAAGACAAGACACAAGCACCTTGCGCCATCTTATGAATAATATCCAGACAATTCCCTTTCACTAAATGCCACTCGACAAATTACTCAGTAAATCACTCCTATGTAAGCTGCTATTTACTGAATGTCCAGTCATTATACCCTTCAGTAAATCACTCCTATGTAAGCTGATATTTACTGAATGTCCAGTCATTATACCCTTCAGTAAATCACTCCTATGTAAGCTGCTATTTACTGAATGTCCAGTCATTATACCCTTCAGTAAATCACTCCTATGTAAGCTGCTATTTACTGAATGTCCAGTCATTATACCCTTCAGTAAATCACTCCTATGTAAGCTGCTATTTACTGAATGTCCAGTCATTATACCCTTCAGTAAATCACTCCTATGTAAGCTGCTATTTACTGAATGTCCAGTCATTATACCCTTCAGACCTACCGGCGTAAGGCACCTGGAGTTTTGAAATCACTTTATTAATTCTGGCAGTCTAGAGGATATCCTCATAATGCTCCCAGAATTTGCCAGTGCAGGCTACTGATCACATGGCCCTGTACGACTAGCCATTCTGTGTGATGGGGATCTTTTAGCATCACTCTTGATGTACTGTGTACTTTATTCATATAGTACTTTATTCATATGATTCATATAGTCTAGGCCCTAGACTATATTTCCTATTATCAGAGTCAAGAAGCATGTGAGGCTTATTGAAGTTCCCCGAGATCAAGGACTGGCATGCCCCGGGATACTACCCACAATAGTTGCATAACTCCTGGGAACGTGTTTACTACTAGGTGAACATAGGCAACAGGTATAAGAAAGCATGCCTAACATTGCGCCCTTCTCGGGCATCAACGTGAGCCCAATCGGTTGCACGCCAACAGGTCAATATTTCAGCCACAACAATAGCTGCCTGATCAGCATACGTGCGTTAATCCTAGACATCATTCATATACAATATAAGCTCGACGAATAACATAAAAACGTACTCCATTCAGTAGTTGGTTGGTTTGGTGTTGGGCTTTAGACCAATCAACCTCTGGAGATTTATCGAGGTCTCTACAATTCCTTAGTGACCAATCAACAAGAACGTATTAATCCTCAACATAGTCAAGCATTACAGTAAGCTCTCAGTGAACTTAAACCGAAAAACGGGATATTCCTGTTGCTATTGGCGGTATACTGCTCTGCTGAGACCAGCAGGACGCGACTGCTGACGCTGCTTCCGGTCGCGGCCAGCAGAACACTAGCACAACGCTTCTCTTTACGAGTGTTTAAGATTTGTCAAGTCTAAGACAAGCCTCGAGGAATCTCAGGCTGGGATATGATATATTATATTTTTACGTCAATACACTGAGGATATTATCTAATTAAATTAGTAAGGCATGTGATATCAACTAATAGTAACAATAATACTGAATTATATATATAATTGAGAGTCTTAGAGAAATTTTCAAAGTCTCTTTCAAAGTAGTTATTTTTTATCATTAATACCTCACATTTATGATCCCCCAAAAGCGAATAGAACGCTATGAGTTTCAGTGGAAAAAAAATTATTTTAGAATAATGGTTAACGATTTTTTAAAGATATTGGTTAATTATTTCTTCCTCCCAGCGGAACACTTGTCAAGGCTAGACACAGCTGCGTTTCGTCCTGAGGTTTTGACGTGGTGGCTGTGCACTTAATTGTCTTCTTACATTTACCACCCCATTTTTGGAGGACGGGCTGGGTGATTACGAGGTTTGACGTGGTGATACGACGTTTGACGTGGTGATACGACGTTTGACGTGGTGATACGACGTTTGACGTGGTGATACGACGTGCATCGTTTTGTGGGTGATTGAGTCATGATGTAACGCAATGAGTGACTCGTTTACGCATCCGGGAGTTTCTGTATGTTGGTGGTAGACAGACAGTCTGTGGTAAGTTGGTAGAGACTCTGTGGTAAGTTGGTAGACAGTTGGTAGTTATTGAGAACATGGGGGACGTGGTGCTTGAGCTGTGTGTTCCATCGTTAGGAGCAACGCACTGACCATTGCCAGGATACAACCCTCAATTGCTGAGCAGTTCCCGGCTACCTGTTTACTGCTAGGTGAACACAGGCATCAGGTGAACGCAGGAAACATGCCCAAACGTTTTGTCCTGACACGGAATCCAACACGAATTATATTAAATCATCCTGTTGTTTATTTCTTTGACCGTAATTGGTATTTTTTTTTTAACCATGCCGTTATTTAAAGAATAATTTGTCATCTGTAGTGACAATAGTTTGTGACATTCCCTGGAGGAGAAATACAATTAATACAATTGTATATCTTATGTTGATTATTGTATTATATTCTTGTATTTGTACTTTAGGGGAGCTATTACACAATAAAAATAATTATATCCCGTGTAAGTGCCTAAGAAAGAGGTACAGTAGCTTCGATATTTGGTCTTAACCAAACAATTTACCATTTTTGTGGGGTTAACTCCCACGTAACTAATCCTCGACAAATGGTTTAAAGCTGATCAGAATTATATTTCACCATTATAAATGCACATTAATGCATTCATAAATCTATGTACCTATGTATTTAGGTATGTAGCTTAGCCTAACATTTTAAAAGCACTACGATCACCTTCTGTGGTTGTTCAATAAATCTCTGAACTGTATGTTTGACAAATCTTTCACCCTGTCCATGGAGGACAGAAGAAAATGTATATATGCAGGTTAGCATTGTAAATGTGTGGCCACGTCTGTGGTAGAAAATAATAATAATAAAAAAAAAGGTTGTCGATATATTTACCATGACCTAATTTGCATAAGATAGCAACTATTAACCTCAAATACAATTATAATTGCTTATCTGTACCACAGTCTATAAAAGTTTTAGGTTCACAAATAATGTGTGCGTACTATGTGAACTGGAAACTCCCGAGTGAACAGGATATGACATCAACGATATTTTGTAGCGCCTTAGGCTAGAATTATATTTCTAATGGACAATATTCCTACCGTATGATCGCTTTCCCTTCAACGGAAACTTGAAGACACCTCATAAAACCAGCCATCTGCCCGTAATCACAATTATTTCACCCTAATCCAATCCCCAGTTAATTCCTTTCAAATATTGCAAGTAAAAGTTGTCACCAGGTTCTGGGAAAGCATGGACGTCCTGTCGGAGGTGGGGACTTATGAAGGTTGACAGCTGAGCACTGTCAGAACTACCCAGGACTCTCAGCCAGACGGTTCATCTGTAAGCCTTGAGCCTGAAGGCTGGCTCTTATACACTCACTTATCGTCTACTGAGTTTGTATCAAGGTTACTCCTAGAATAAGGTACGTTACTGGCGCGATAATATATATATGGAAATTTGATTGTTTACAAATTTTTGTTATTAGGTCATGGTTATAGTATTGCATTATTCACTGTCATGTAATATTGTGTTTTAAATAAAGTCAAGTTATAATAGTGGTGATTGCTATACCTTAGTGTGGTACTATGGTACACCATGGTAACAGTACTGTTACAGTACTGCGATACCACCCGCCCGTGGCGCAGTAGGCTACGCGGCCACCATACACGCCTCGCCACCTATATCACCGAGGATTCGAGTCCTGAGATGAAAGGGTCAACTGGGGCACCGATCATTAACTACTCATTCAGCACGAGTTGGGGACCTGGTTCCCAATCAATTATTCTAGGGAATAATAACTGAATAAAGCTCAATCTGAACTGTGGAAAGAGTGACTCTAAGCCTACTAACAGGAGTTTGAAGGTATATGCTCCTATATTCAACAAACAGGAATAGCACTACAACACCCTACCCATGTAGTGAGCTGCTGTGGTTGGGACATCATCAGACGGCAGCACAAGTCTAGCTTTCGCTAGATTTTAATTCTTTCACGTTATTGTGAAGTTCTGTCATGGATAAGAGCGGTTGGGATGGGTTAGATCTTGTTCAACCGGATTTCCTGTGAACGATAAAAGTTTTATTGGTATAGTATCTGCTCCCTGACACTCATAGCACTGACGATGTCTGCCCCCTGGCACTCATAGCACTGACGATGTCTGCCCCCTGGCACTCATAGCACTGACGATGTCTGCCCCCTGACACTCACAGCACTGACGATGTCTGCCCCCTGGCACTCATAGCACTGAGGAAAAGGAGGTAGAATGACTAATAGAATGACTAAACAGAATGACTATAGATATACGAGAACAGGAGAGGAATTGAACGTCGCCTTGCAAGAAGCAAGATCGTCACTGCTCCCACCAGTCCATGTGGATCAATAATACATTAACATTTCTTATTGCACAAAAGAATCGTGCAGTGTAGAGACTATGTCACAATAACGTTGCTGAAACAAATAGATCAACCCGTTAAATTGACTTGTTTTATTTATTGCAGTGAAATTTATTATTGTTTTTTAACCATTACCTGTCCACTGACCAACACACCTCCGTTCACTTCAGAATGGTTTTGAGTATCGTCGGATCTCTGGTTGGACTGGTCAAGGTCCGTAGCCTGCACACCAACATCGATAATTATGTCTTCCGACTGCACTACCGCTGGACAACCTCCTTCTGCTACTTAGCGTGCGCTCTGGTGGCCGCAGCTGACTTTATTGGGCAGGCGATCCAGTGCTACGATGGCTCCGGGAACCCAGTGGCCAAGCCTATCAACACCTACTGCTGGATCATGTCTACCTTCACCATCAACAGCAGCAGCAGTGAGTGTCTCACCTGAGAAAAGGAGAGAGAGAGAGAGAGAGAGAGAGAGAGAGAGAGAGAGAGAGAGAGAGAGAGAGAGAGAGAGAGAGAGAGAGAGAGAGAGAGAGAGAGAGAGAGAGAGAGAGAGAGAGAGAGAGAGAGAGAGAGAGTGTGTGTGTGTGTGTGTGTGTGTGTGTGTGTGTGTGTGTGTGTGTGTGTGTGTGTGTGTGTGTGTGTGTGTGTGTGTGTGTGTGTGTGTGTGTGTGTGTGTGTGTGTGTGTGTGTGTGTGTGTGTGTGTGTGTGTGTGTGTGTGTGTGTGTGTGTGTGTGTGAAGTGTTCGAACGTCATCAGTTGTGAATTGTGTGTGTGTGTGTGTGTAAAGCGTTCTTCGCTCATAAACAAGGGGTTTCGCAAGCATTTGGCCTTTGTCGATGAAGACAGGTTGCGAACAAGGGATCCCTGTATCATATCTCTTGAGTTAGGACATGAACTCGCATCGTTCCTTTGAAAGAGGACTCGAGTTGGAGATTACTGTATTCTTCAACATTTTTATTTTTCTCATTAAATTTGGCATTGTATTTGCTGTACATCAAGAGGGAATTTAGTGTTCTGTATTAAATATTTATCTCTTGATTTAATTATGCTGTAGTCCTTGTGACCAGACTTCAATGTTCACTGTCCGACAGCCGATGGCTCTCACTACTCCAGTCAAGGCAGCAACTACGACGGCACTGGCACCTTCAACCCCAAACTTCACACCAAAACCTACCACGCCTACTATCAGTGGGTTCCGTTCGTCCTGTTCTTCCAGGTAAGATAACAATCCTTCATTATCTTTCAATCGGACAGATATCATCTATTGTTCACTCCCGTGCTAGATATTACCCTTTCAGACAGCTCAAACACCCCATGAATATTTGACCGAAGCGTAAACCAAATTTCTTGTTGTTTTTGCATCTCTGCCTTCGGCCCCTCTCTCCCCTTTTCTCTCTCTCCATATAAGCACCTTTCGTCTGACATGTCTCTTGGGAACTTTTGTCAGGGATGCCTATTCTACCTGCCTCACCTTCTGTGGAAGGCCAATGAAGGGAAGACAGCAGATACCCTTCTTCAGGGACTTCAGTACAACTCTATGGATGATGACCGCGAACAGAAGCGAAATAACATTATCAGGTAGGTTCCTTGCGTCCTCTTGTCTCCTGCTGGCTCAGAAGGGATCTGATAGATTGAGTGATTGGTGAAGATTAAGCCACCCAAGAGGTGGCACGGGCATGAATTGCCCGTAATTGGTAGATATGTTGGAGTGAATGTGATCTTTGGTCGTGAAGGTCTGATAGTTTGTTCCTATGTGTATGTAATGGGGTAGGAAAGGTGACGGATCATAGGCTGTATAAGCGACTTGTCTGTTTGAGGCAATGTCGCAAAGGCATATTATAAGTGGTTGTTATCACGTCAAGTGTTTTAAATCATGTTACATGCGTCACAGATCTCATTTCCCTGCCTCCTACAGGTATCTACAGTCGTCGTGGGGTCGTAACGGCCGCTACTCGGCCGTGTTTATCCTCTGTGAGGCCCTCAACTTAGTCAACGTTATCGGACAAATGTTTTTACTCGACAGTTTCTTCGGCGGAGTCTTTATGACCTACGGGACCAAGGTATGAACTTTAGCTTCAATTAATTAACAAATATAAAGTACGTAATTCGTTATAAGTAAATAGATAGAATGATAATGCTGATCATTATAATTATACATTGTGTGTGCAACTCAAAAAATATGGTTCTGCTAGCCTAGCATTCATAAAGATTCGTGTTATTTCTTCGTGCCTTGGGAAAAAGATACTTTGCCGAGTCTACCTACATGTTTGTGTCAATAAAAATCAGCTTACACCTAAATTTCAAGTGAAGGTGTAACATCAAGTCAGACTGGTGGTTCTAACAGTAGGCTTACAGCCGTTCAAACTAAAAATGGTCGTTGAAACGTGTTTGCTCACCACTAAATTTTCCGCAGGTGTTGAACTTTGTGGTGGACGACGACGTGGAGGGAATGCATGACCCCTTGATAACCACCTTCCCTAGGGTGACCAAGTGTAACTTCCACAAGTTTGGTCCCTCGGGAACCCTGGAGCTAAAGGACGCCGCCTGCATCCTCCCCCAGAACATGCTCAATGAGAAAGTCTTCATTGTCATGTGGTTTTGGTTCGTCATCCTCGCCACCATCACCTCTATCCAGGTGAGAAAGAGAGATAGAGAAAGGGAGAAGGGGTCGGGAAAAGAGTAAGAGAAAGAGGTCTCGGACGCAGGTTCGAATCCTCGTCACGGCCCTTGTGGATTTGTTCGGTAAGAGAAAGGTTTACTTAAAATTGGATGGACAGCAACTTGCACCAAAGAATTGCCAGCACTATTGAATTCTTTAACATGGTTTTTAGCAAATAATAATATTCCTAAATAACAGTACTAACTTTATAATACTTGTATACCGAGAACCTGAACCTAAATATTGTCAGAGAATAAAGAATAACTGCGGACTTAACGACCCTTAGAGTTAATAGGTCTTAAGTCTTAACGCAGCCTAGCTTTGGGGCTCTGGCATCAGTATTTCATTAATTAAATGACTGCATGAATTTCTCTAAAATGCCAATTATTTACCCCAGCTGGTGTGGCGCATAGTGATCGCCTTCAGCCCGGTCCTCAGAGTTCGAGTACTGGAACGCCGTGGGAAGGTCACTGCTACACCCAAACTGGAACAAGCTGTCCGCCACCTACACCTCGGCGATTACTTTCTCCTGGACATCATCGGCCGCAATTTGGACGCCTACAACTTCAATGAGATCCTTCTTAAATCAACGAATTGCGATGAGGGCGACCTCGGTCACAATACCTATCACCCCTTCAACGAGATTGATGACGATGACCCAACGGCTCTGAAACGGCAGATGGAGAACGAAGATATAACCGCAGTGTAGAGCAACAGATATATCCACAAGTGCATAGTTGGCGGAGCGACGCCTCCCTGGTGGATATTCAGAGGTATAACAGAATTATTTGGTTTCGCGAAGAAATCATGCATGTAAATATATATTATACTTAATTTATTTACATGTTATGCTGTGATACGGTAACGCTTACAGTCGTAACCTTGATCTGGTATGAGGCCAGCATCGAGGGTGGGTGAGATATATTGCTCGGGCGGCGCCTGGCCTCTCTGGCTTTATGATTCAGGCAGCAACAATAACCACCTGATGATTGGTTCCATGTTCTTGCTACGAATCTTAAAGGGCAGTTACGTCTATCCTCATGTTCCCGCCCCCTGCAATGGGGCAGGAGCAAGCACTCAACACTCGACAATCACCATCACTCCCACACAGAAACATATATATATATATAACCATTTAACCAAATGCACACGAACCATATTGTTATAATACGGAAAAAGGGCAACTTTTACTTGTAACGTTAGGTCTTGATAGTGAAGTCTCCAATAAAGCAAGGAATGGGAAGAGCTTAGCAAGAGATCAGAGCGGGATCGAGATACTGGTATCTTGTCTTATCGGGAAACAAGAAGGCTTAGTCTGTTCTCCATTGAGTTGATGGATGAGCTAATCGAGTGATAGGCTTCCAGGTGCCGAAGATTGTGGTATATACGTACTTGTGGTATATACGTACGTGGTAAGTATTGTAAATATTTTTGTACTCACCTAATTGTGCTTGCGGGGGTTGAGCTTTGGCTCTTTGGTCCCTTTTGTACGGGTGTGTCAGCGATGGCAGTGTCTGTGTATTATGTAAAAATCTTATCTGTGATGAATTTATATTTTAGACAGTATTTTGTACAAATACCATTTAAATCAATAAAGCTACTAAATGAAAGTTATTTTAAAGTTATTTTCCTCCTAATAATCTACATATTCAGTCGATATACTATGAATATACTTTATTTCCTGTAAATAAAGAGAGAGAGAATGTATGTACTTAGCCCCTTGTTATGGAACGTCTTTTCCAAAAACCTAAGTCCCTGTACCTGTCGTTCAAGCCAATAATCCCTTTAATTTAATATAAATATAATCTCCAATTTTGTAAATCATTTAAAGAAAAATAAGTATAACATTTAGGGGATTTACAGATCATGTTCTGTGATGATGAAACACTTGTTCACTGAGAATTATACTACTGTATATGTAATGTAGTATTGCCTTGTAAAACTTATGTATATATGATTTATATTGTATTTTCTTAAAGATAAAAAAAATCCTTGCTACAGTCTAATCCTTACTTATACAAGTATGGGTTCATTAACCACTAACTTGCAAGGAATATTTGAATGGGATAGTCGTTGATACAGCCCGTCCTCCTAAGGTTTCTTAATGTCAAGAAACGGTTAATTTAAAGTGTCCCCTTCTAACCTACCAGAGGACCCAAAACAGAAAACGGAACAGTACGTCACTTTCGTCAGCCGCTTCCATTTTCTAGTACAATTTTTGTCCTTATGTAACGCATACAAGCGAAAAGCAACGTTCATTATAAGAGGATAAGTTGGTTGATAGGCTACATTCGCTGTCAACAAATACAGGCGATTATCATAAGTAAACCACGTGATATTCTGAATGGGACAAACATAAAGATGAGTATTCAGTGATGAAGTTGACTTCTAATGGATGACGTTTGATTCAACGACCATGAGAAACCACGTCCTGAACCTAGCAAGGCAGATAGGGAGAGAAATTGACACCACTAAAGGACGTGTCTCACCTACTCGACAGTAGTGGTTACAAAACACTGTATGAAATACAAATGTGCTTTCATCATGAGTAGTCACCGCTCTACTGGATGGTCTAACCCCCAGTCCTTTCTCAGACTTCTGGACAATTGTAGAGACTTACGCAAGACGACTCATCTGCCCTGACCAGTCCTGATTGGACATCATTTCTATACACAACCAATCACCAATGATACCCTAACCAACAGTACATTATAATAATAATCGCAGTAGGGGGGTAGAAATAGCTTAAGCTACTCTATCCCTTTGAGATGTATTTTTTCTTGTCTCAATAAACATACTTGAACTTGAATAATAATTGACAAACACAGCGACAACATGAGATTAGACACAGGAAAGGATCTATACTAACCAGCGCTTATTAGGCCTAGGATGGTTAGGTTACGTTAGATTTTATTAACAACATAAATCTGACATCTTTTCCGGTTTGTCCAAATTCAATATTACCAAATTCTACTTTCAATTTGTCCATTACGTTAATATATGAACGATGGTCCATAGCTACTATAAGTACTTTACTGTGTAAACAGAAGGATGTGCTGCCAGCTTACACTGAGGGGAGTATCTCTCCAGCTTACACTGAGGGGAGTATCTCCCCACCTTACACTGAGGGGAGTATCTCTCCAGCTTACACTGAGGGGAGTATCTCTCCAGCTTACACTGAGGGGAGTATCTCTCCAGCTTACACTGAGGGGAGTATCTCTCCAGCTTACACTGAGGGGAGTATCTCTCCAGCTTACACTGAGGGGAGTATCTCTCCAGCTTACACTGAGGGGAGTATCTCTCCAGCTTACACTGAGGGGAGTATCTTTCCAGCTTACACTGAGGGGAGTATCTCTCAACCTTACACTACGTGCGTGGATCAGGAAATTACGCAGACACATGTAACGTCATTCACTTTCTAGATAACAAAACAAAAAAGAATGTTCACAGTCGACACTGGGGTGCCTCCGGTAGTTTTCCTAATGTTGGTGAACTCTATCACCTATGGAGAATTAGCCTGGACCAAGCATATGGATGTAGTCTGGTCCTACTATGTGGAGATGTAGCCTAACCCTAGTATATGGAAATGTAGCCTAGTCCTAGTTTCTGGAGATGTAAGCTAACGCCACAATATATGGAGATGCAGCCTAGCCTCATTAAATAGAGATGTAACCTAGTCCTAATATATGATGATGTAGTCTAGTCCTGTGCATATGATGCCGTAACCTAGCTCCATTAAATGTAATTGTAAGCTAGTCCTAGTATATGGTGATGTAGCCTAGCTCTAGTATAGGCCATATCTTCATACACTGAGACTATAGGCTCTAACTCCATCGTGCTGGGGGTTATCCCGCAAGTGTCTGAGCATACCTGCATTTTTTGGCACTAATAAAGGGGCTCTTACTCCGAAAGAAGTCAACCTTTACATATCTTAAGTTGCCATGAAGGGTAGTCCAAGTAGCAAATTGTGGGTGTAGGTGATGAATAACTTACTCCTTTAAGATTAAACATTAGGGACCCTAATAAGAGACCTGGTCGAGGACCGGGCTGCAAGGGACGCTAAGACCCAAAATCATCGCAAGGTAAGGTAACCCTTGATACCTTAGAAAAACAATCATATTTACATTTTATTACAACACAACTACGATATAATTGCGTCCAAAGATAATGCCAGCAGTTCACAATCACTGAATTAGCCTATTACCACAATCTGTTAAGTAATTAGCATTATGCAGAGGTTTTCTGTAAAGAGAGAGGAGATGGTCTAGGGAAGACCAGCATAATCACTCAGGATATGACGTTTATGCTCGCTTCACACGTTGCCGTACGGTGCTAATTAAGTTATTTCTCAGTTAAACCATGTATAATATTCTTGAGATCTCTTGGATACCTGAACATTGAGGAAATTCGCGCGAGAAAACTAAATGAAACTGTAGCTTCTTTGTACACAGCTTCTCAAACAGAGATCCGGAGGCTCATGGGAAAAGTGGTTCTGTCCCAACATGGTTTCCCGTTTTCATGGAAATTTATGACGTAGGACTCGGGGGCCACTGGTCGCCTGTGTGGTGCCATCCAGTGCCACTTCTCCTGACACTAGACAAAGACCCTCCAGAAACGGTGAAGTGCTATAGACCCTTTCAACATCCCGTTTCCATCCGTGGACTCTCAAAAAGACATCAAGGTAGGCCAGTGTTGACAAATTATATATATCAATTGTCAAATTTAGATTATTTGGTATACCTTTGTTCGGGACAGGAAGCCTGCTAAACTTATCGAGGTCCACCACTGCCAGCGTCTGACCTTCGGCAGGCTGCAAGCCACAACAAATGACTAACTCCCAGGTGCCTGTTTATTGTTAGGTGAACAGAAACATAGGGTGTAAGAGAACGGGTCTAGACGTCTCTGTTAGACCGGGAATCAAACCCAGGATAATTACGGTTGTGAGCCGACAGTAGTGAGAACTACGCTACAAATCTTATACCAGACAGACAGATTTTACATTTATTGTGCTGGATAACGCATAAATCCATGGGTCTCGAATTCAGTATCAATTTCAACGATATACAGTTTATAGAGCGAGTTGGAACGGGACCTCCAGAATAAGTTGCAGATGATTTAGAAGGCGAATTACAGCACCTGCCCGGTGGAGTCATAATCACTAAGGAGTCTGTTGCTGCTACCGAGTAATATCTAAACGTTTAAGGACGATCAAACTGCGGGGAGGAGAGGGAGAGGATGATCATTTCGTACATACGACGATTAGACAAAACTCGTTTTCTGTGTGTTAAAACCATATGAATAATTAGGCTAAGATGGGCTTATCCTAGGTTAAACTGTATTGGGCTAAGGTGGGTTAGGTTAGGTTGAATTAGGTTAGGCAGATTTCAGAATCCGTAGGCCAATCGTTGTGTGTACGAAGCGACTAGTATCCGCGCAGGTCCCCCAGCAGCAGTAGACAACCCACGCTGATCCTAGGAGCAGGAATTTCACTTACTCTCCGGAATACTAGGGGATTAGGACCCAGCCGTTGACCAGACCTCGCTGGTCAACACATCAATCGCCTTTGGGGCCACCAGAGAGAAGATCCCAAATTCAAGGTGAGGATTCCTTGCATATATTATTCTTCATACCTTAACCCAGTAGCGGCGACGCCATTGTGTGGTAATGGCGTCTTGTGGCTCCCGATAGTACAGTTGGGTTCGTTCTCGACTCACAATCGAGAATTCCGTGTTCGAATCCCGGGCGGCACAGAAATGGTTGGGCGCGTTTCCTTTTACCTCATGCTCCTCTCCGTCTAGCAGTAAATTAGGTACCTAGGAGTTAAGTCAGTTTGTTATGGGGTTACATCTTGATCGGGGTCAGTAATTCGACCCTGGGCGAACTGTATATATATCCTGGGTTCCTGTCCCCCCGACACAATGAATGAATTATTATATTGACGCAGTGAGAACGCTGTTATCTGAGTAAACGTGGGTTGTCCACCATTCCTCTCCTCCGGCCTAGCCTAGTTCCTTATTCTCATATCCCTTCCAAGTGTTATACAGTTGTAATGGCTTAGTGCTTTCGCCTGATCATTTATCTTACCTTATCTGCCCCCCACGGGGCAGCACAGTGGCGTCCCTGCACAGGAGTCTGGCCATATTCTTGAGAGGCAAGAATCGTACTATGATCCACAGGAGGCAGTACTCCCGCCGGCGGGCTCTTCAATGCGGTAAATAAGTACCTGGGAATTGCTCGAATGGCGCGAATTGCGTCGATGGGAAAACTCCCCTTGATAAGCCTTACAGTATAAACTTGCTGTATTGACAATAGGTAAACGATTAAAATGAATATATTTTAAGATATGTACTGTGTATGACTCCCGCATGAGTGATAGTGAGACGGTGATGGTGTCGCTAACCACCTTCCAGTCAACATAGTGATTTGATCATTGTTATTGTACTTTATACAGGTTTTGATGGTTTGTTTATTTATTAATTTAGAAGGCTGTATAGTCTGGCAATTTTTATTTTCTATTTTATTTGGGAAGCTCTTGAGCAGCAGCTAACATGCTAAGCAAGCGCTTGCAAGAAGAGCCTTCCTTCTTTCTTTTGTTTCAATATTTAAAGTATGACACAACTAAACAACTCGCTGTCGTCGTTCATGTTCGTTGTCATATCCTACAAGTAAAATAAATTAGTGCGAACTTCCGTCAATGATTCCTTAGTGCTGTGTTCAAGAACTTAGTGAGCTTGTTGAAGAGCTCAATAGCTGTGTTCAAAAGCTCAATAGGCGTGTTCAAGAGTTCATTAAGCATGTTCAAGATTTCAGAATGTTTGTTCAAAAGCTCAGTAAACTTGTTCAAGAGCTCAATAAGCTTGTTAAAGTGCTGAATAAAGCTTGTTCAAGGGCTCAATAAGTGTTGAAGATGCTACGAAGCTTGAAAGTTGAGGTGTCTGTAATCTTTAAGGCTCTTACACCTTCAGGATGGTTCTGCCGGTGTTGGGGGCTCTGGCTGGGCTGGTGAAGGTGCGGTACTCCCGCACCCTCGTCGACAGCCAGGTCTTCCGCCTCCACTACCACTGGACGACCGCCTTCCTCTTCATCAGCTGCGCTCTAGTCGTCGCTTCCGATTACATAGGAGACGCCATCCAGTGTTTGGTCGGGCAGGAAGACGCGCCCAAGCCCATCACCACTTACTGCTGGATCTCCTCCACCTTCACCATTAATTCCACCGGCCGTAAGTATACTTGATTACAAATTAATGACTCTCACACACAGAGATCATAATAACGTGATGCATCAAATGAACAAATCCACAAGGGCCGTTACGAGGATTCGGATTCTGGGATGCTCCCGGACGCAGGTTCGAATCCTCGTCACGGCCCTTGTGGATTTGTTCATTTAACGACTCTTTCACATTAATCAGCTTCTTTATCTTTCAATTATTCATATAACGTGCCATATTTCTTTCTGTTTTTCTTTCCTCAATTTATATTTCTCACAACATTTCGAAGAATACCATAGCCAATCTGAGGATAGCGTTATCAATAAGCAAGACTCCGAACTGGATCGAACAAGTACATTTTGCATAGGCCTAATATAATATGTATTATGTAACATTCATTCATATCTTCAATTAAGTTAGTATTGTTAATTTTTTCTCTGCAGCACTTATGGGATTAGGAACTTACAAGCCTAAATTTCACCAGAGGCGGTTTCACGCCTACTACCAGTGGGTTCCAGTAGTCCTTTTCCTCCAGGTCTGTTGTCAAGGTGTTCAAATGTTCACTTTAAAAATAAATAATTTAAAAATAAATATTTACTTAAAATATATCACCACTGAACTCATTAGGAGCTCTATGACGTAAATACATTACGACAATTACCACAGCCACTTCAGTGCATGTTCAATAGAATTACTCCGACATTAGTATGTGTTCAGTTCATGAATATATTTTCAAGACTCAAATTATTTTACCACAACTGCTGTTATATCACTCCAGAGGATGACAGGCCTTAAGATCAGCACAAAACAATGGTTTAAGAATGTATCTTAAAAAAATTAATGTTACTTAAATTAATATCCCTCTGCGCATACTAAGTAATTAGATGCTAAAATAGTTATACATTTTAATTATTTAAATGGGTTCTAAAACACTTTATTGCGTGACTGGTGTACAGGGGTGCCTCTTCTACCTGCCTCACCTCATATGGAAGAACTGGGAGGGCAAGCAGGTGGACCTCCTGCTTCAGGATCTTAACAAGAGCCTCTTTGACGAAGATGCCGCCAAGAAGAAAGTTAATATTATCAAGTAAGCAATCATATATAATTGAAGCAATTGAAGTAAGCAGAATATTGAAATGTAAGGTAATTATGAGTAAAATTAGAAATAAAATCATTTGCCTCGTTTAAGTGAAAACACTCGCTTTAAACCTTAAAGAAAGTTTCCAGAGATAATATGTTGATGGCGAGTCACAATAACCTGGTTGAAAATTAGGCAACCAGCCAACAAATATAAAAATGAAGAATTTTTCTTTATCTTTATTTAATAAAATACAATATAAATCATATATAATAAATTTACAAGGCAATAGTACATTACATATACAGTAGTATAATTATCAGTAAACAAGTGATTCATATTATCACAGAACATGAACTTTAAACCCCTAAATGTTATACTTATTTTCCTTTACATGATTTACAATTTTGGATTATATTTACAATAATTATTATATTTACATTATAAAAATATGATTATATTTACATATACATTATACAAATATGATTATATTTACAATACATGGGGAAATTATTAAATTTATATATATCCGTCTTGGATCATAATCAAGTTGTGTGGGACTTTATAATGGTCCAGGATGGACTGAAAAGCTCTTAATTTTCGACTTTCCAGTGAGATTAAAATTCCTGTTTAAGCTAGTGATGAATTCCACCGCCTATCTAGTTAAGCCACAAAGCTTTCTTACCTACAAGAACTTGCTTGTTTAGTTTTACTTCAAAACTTTATTTAGTTAAGAAGATACTTTTCCGTTGTGCAGGAATTTTGATGGAAATACATGTTTGGAGTGTTTGCGACAACCTTGATATTGCTAAATCCAAGTCTCCAGTATGAGTTTTGTGGAAAGTTTCACATCATAATTACTTTACAGCTTTTCTATTTTATTATATATTTTTTAATTTAGCTTTTTGGCCATTTTTGTGGAACTAAAAATACTATCTTAATGTTTGACGTTAATATGTTGTCTCTGCTCCTGCACCCTCAGATACCTGAAGGACTCATGGGGCCTCAATATGAGGTACTCCGTCTTGTACTTCGTGTGTGAGGTGCTCAACCTGGTGAATGTGGTGGGACAGATGTTCCTCATGAACCGGTTCCTTGGGGGATTCTTCATGAAGTACGGGATTAAGGTGAGTTCAGATGGCGTGTTTAGAGCATCAGACGGCGAGCTTTTGAATTTTCGAAGCCTCAACTATCAGAATAAAACTCTTAAGATGGAGCCTAATGTAAACTTTATGGGTAAGCTGTTTCTCTTCCTTAGCATTCATTATATGTCATTCTTTGCTTGCCTGCTCTTTAGTACTGGTTATTTCTGAAGTGAAACACAAAGGAAAAGTAAAAACAAGTCTACAAGTTAAAATATTCACTGGATACTGCCATCTCAGGAAGATACAACAGGGAAACAATAAAACCAGAATTGTATAAGAAAATTGTGTAAGAACACCTATCGGTACGAGGTGCTTATGGTTGACTTTGAAGGTTTTTTTTTGCTACATAAACGGACGATGGATATATATATATTTTTGGTTTTGTCTTTAACGAAATTATGTTGAATTTGGCTTTCAGGTGATCTCGTTCTTGACCTCCGACGACACCAAAAGGAACGACGCTCTCATGGAGACATTCCCAAGGATGACCAAGTGCATCTTCCACCTCTTCGGGGCCTCTGGGGAAATTGAGAAGAAGGATGTTCTCTGCGTCCTCCCCCAGAACATTATCAACGAGAAGATCTACCTGGTGATGTGGTTCTGGTTCATCATTTTGACAATCATCACTATCCTCCAGGTAAGAGAGAGCTTACAAGCTTTCTTGAGCTTGTTGGCGCTTTTATTCTGCATTTGTTTTCAGTTAATCTAAATACAAAAAGTGTATATAAACCGGTGAGTGTATTCTGTACTTTGTATATAAAATGTTTACTCGCCTTGAGCTTTGTTCAGGACCAAAGTAAACTCGTAGCTTGATCAGTAACCAGTGGTGGCTCTTAAGAACCTGTGAGGTTGACAGTCTTGAGGCCAGCACCTAAACTAAAATAAATATAGAAATAATGAACAAATCCCCAAGGGCCGTGACGAGGATTCGAACCCTTGTGGATTTGTTCATTTGATGCATCACGTTAGTGTGATCTCTGTGTGATAGAAATAATTTTTACAACATTTCAAATTAATATTCGTCGACATCCATGGTGCATCTTCCCGTATTTCCTACCAACTCCCTTATCAAGCACCTCGGTATTATAACATCTTCCTCCTCAACAGGTGGTGTGGCAGCTAGTCATATTTAACAGCCCAACAGTGCGGGTTCGCCTGCTGCAACGCTTGGCCCAGAAGAATTTCTGCCCGCGGATGGAGAATGCCATCCGCAACATGCACTTGGGTGACTTCTGCCTCGTCCTTAGCATCGGAAAAAACCTAGACATCTTCAGTTTCAGGGACGTGATGCAGGGCGTAGTCGAGGCCTCGGAGGAGGCTTACACCCCTAGCGCCCCGCCACTACTAAACTATCGCACCAATAACTTCTCCAATAATCCAGATATGATCACCCGCAAACGTCATATTGGGCTAGCAGCGGACTCCAATCAGTAGGAACCAGTGCTGGAAATTTCATGTAGCCTCGCATACCAGTATTCTTAACCTCGCAGAATTCAGAGGAAATATTTCGGAAGGTTTAAGATTCTTCACTTTCAGGGATCCCAGATGGAAGGGATGGTACTCATCTAACGGTGATTACCTAACAGTGACGACGAGGAATGAGACCTAGCTGTTAAGACCCGCCTACTAACTAGCCTAGTCGTACCTGGAGCATTTCACTTTTTTTAAGATATGGATGGAAATGGCTTCTACTCCTCCTTTCGGTACAATCCACTTGTTGAACACCTGTACAAGGTAAGAGAATTTTCTCACATTTCTTGGACTTGATAAGTTTCCAATTTCCACATGTCTGCGTTTTTTACTCAAAACAGCACATGAATTTTCACAAATTGTTGTTTTAGTTAGTTTTACATATCAAAACAAAATTTGTATCTTGAAAATAGCTATTCTGTCAAGTACTACCATTCATTCAAAAATCCAAATAACATTTTTTTATTTGAAATATTGAGTGTATAAATGAATGTAAATACAACATGAAATGTATATTATTTGTATTTAAATGTTTACTGTAAATCAAACTACAAATTATACATCAGAACGTGGCAAACCATCCTACAAAATAATAGTACATATGGCGACTGTAGTCAAATAAGATTATTGCACCAATAATAGGCCCCATTATGTACTTTTAAATTGTGGCTTTCCGATTGTCGTCGAATTAATAGAGAATGTTGACTTAATTGGGTACAACTGTGCAGAATGTGAATACATAACCACCCCCTTATTTCCTATATACAGTATATACAATAGTTTTGGAGGATGGGTTGCTACAGGTGTATAGATACCACATGATACCACATGTATAGATACTACAGGTGTATAGATACCACATGATACCACATGTAAAGATACTACAGGTGTATAGATACCACATGTACCTATACAAGCAATACTTAACGTTAGTATTACAATATGTTACGAAAGAATAACATGCAGTTAGAACAGGTTTTGTTCATTTTCTTACATTCTTAAGTTAGGAGAGCAACATTATTTTGTTAATATTGATTATTAAAAAATAATAACCATTTTTTTTTAAGTTTATTAATCTCTTGTCCCCTCAACGATCACCAGCTTTGTTTATTATTAGACATAATGGAGCATTTATAAAGCTTTATTAGAAACAGAAAGAATAAGCCTGGCTACCAAACTAAGGTAATAATATGAAGCATGTAGGTAAATGTTTGGGACTGTGTCAAGTGGGGATAGCCAGAGTAGGTAGGAAGGGGAGGACACAGTTGAAAAACGCGCAGCAATGTTAGATAAACATAACGCAACATGCTAAATGTAGCACACACACACACACACACACACACACACACACACACACACACACACACACACACACACACACACACACACACACACACACACACACACACACACACACACACATGGGGAACCTCTGTAAGCACGATATGATCACGTGCATACACATGAGATCTGGGTATTGTCATGGCTGAATGTGGTAACAGTGGCGAGAAGATAAGAGTTTGACTTGGTAGCACTTGCTCTGGAGATAATTTAGCCATGGGACAAGCTGTCAACATAAAAATGATACATACCTCAACAGTTAAATTGTTGTATGGAGTATCTTAATTGGTATTCACTTGATTGTAAGAACTTTCATTATTTGTTTATCTGGAACTTTGCATTTTTGAACCAGAAGTGTGGTTGGTAACTACATCGAACAAATCGCTTCTTATGTATGGTCATGACGTCTTCCAGGTCTCAAAACGTAACTTACAGGCTTTGTAACACGTAACTTTGTAAAAATGTAACTGTGTAACTACCACGCAAAAGACACCTCGGGCCAGATTCACGAAAGCACTTACACAAGCACTTACGAACCTGTACATCTTTTCTCAATCTTTGGCGGCTTTGTTTCCAATTATTAAACAGTTAATGAGCTCCGAAGCACCAGGAGGCTGTTTATAACAATAACAACAGTTGAGTGGGAAGTTTTCATGCTTGTAAACTGTTTAATAAATGTAACCAAAGCCGTCAAAGATTGAGGAAAGATGTACACGTTCGTAATTGCTTGCGTAAGTGCTTTCGTGAATCTGGCCCAAGGCATCGTAGGCACAATGGCAGACCAACGGAACAGAAATGGCATGTTATATTTTAGGCCGAGAGCAATAAAATAACTGTTTAATTAGGTGATATGTAATACAATATAATAACGCCACAAATACTTCAGAGCCTTTCTGCATATAATTGATCTCTCCTGGAAAAAAAAATATAAGATGGGTGGCCAAAAATGATGTGTGTTTACGCGCGAATGTTAGTCACGGAAATGTCTTATTTTGATGGTGTTGATTTGAATAATATTCGTCAATTATCTTACCTTTCCCAGAGCGCGTATTTTTGTTTTGATCGCATTGCGTAATATCTCTTCTAAAATTAATTTTCGTAATATTTACTAGCGTTCAAATTTCTAAATTAAAATTTTGCTCTGTAACAACTGTTTGTTTAACAATTTGTTAAACAATTTGTTTAAGAGCGGTTAAAAAAAACATTTAAGTACTCACAGTAGCTTTATAAACAGAATTCCTTTATTGGAGAACAGGTCGTATGCACACTGATAACATTGATAAGGACGATAACAGGAATGGTCTTAGTGATAACATGAGCCACTATATAACTGCTCTAACTACAAGTCGTATCTTCCATAACAAAAAATATAAATATGCAGAACATAAAAACCTACGAATATAATCGCAAGTACTAAAGTACTATCCTTGTTACTAGATGAGAAACATGGAAAACAAAACATACCACGTGAAGGAATATATATTGCAAAGGGAACCATCTTACATTATTTTTAACGATTAATTTTAATGGTATTCCCCTGGGGCCAGATTCACGAAAGCACTTACGCAAGCACTTACGAACCTGTACATCTTTTCTCAATTTTTGACGGCTTTGTTTACAATTATTAAACAGTTAATGAGCTCCGAAGCACCAGGAGGCTATTTATAACAATAACAACAGTTGATTGGCAAGTTTTCATGCTCGTAAACTGTTTAATAAATGTAACCAAAGCCGTCAAAGATTGAGGAAAGATGTACACGTTCGTAAGTGCTTTCGTGAATCTTACCCCAGAGGTACATCAGCTCGCCTTGATCCCATATAGACGAGTCTCGTACGCAACTGTGAATCTTTGTACACACTCGACTTCTGTTTCTCTATCATTTGTCATCAGTACTTGACACCAAAAAAAGAGACTCTTATTATCAGCAGACAAACAGATAGTTTTAAATACTACGTGTCCTTGGCATCTGTATACTACAGCTAGCTTACTTAAAATTGACGTTAACATTTAGTAACGAGATATAAAGCCTAAGCTATGAACAGTATCTCAGTAAACTGATAATATTTGTAAACATTTTCTTCGAATTTAATGTTGATGAAAGTATTTTTATCAAATTGTTATATGACAAGGAATATACGTAGAGTATATCCCCAACATAATTAACTTGAGTCATTAAGACGCATAAATCCGTAAACAATACAGCATCATCAGTAAAAAATAAGGCAATATTTGTCACAAGAAAAAAAGCGTAGTCTATAATACAGTTCATGCATTCGTAAACACTCGCTATAGCGAAGCGAATGAGAAACTTCCTGAAGACGCTATTTCAATTTCAAGACTCCTCGCTGTTGCGGAGGATTTTAGGGTTGGAGGATGTTTCCAGCTCGTTATCGAAGTGGATGAGGAACTCGCTGAAGATGCTGGACTCCATGTTATGAGCCAGACTGAGGAGGAGGAACCACTGGCTGAGGGAGACCTCCTTCATCACGCGACTAACTTGTACTCTCGCTGCCTCGTTCGTGTGCATCTACCACCACCGCAAGGTACAGAAGGGAAATAAATTAACACTGAGAATGCAACATAAACAGAACAAATACGGCGTTGCTCAGGTTGAAACATGAGAGAAAATGAGTTAATTTACTGGATTGAAAACTTTTTTACTTAAAGGCTCTTCCAGGAGAAAGTATATGAGAAGCACCAGCCACCCAACGTTCAGGAGAAAGTGTATGAGGAACAAGTCACCTTACCTCCGTGAGGAAACACTTGAGAAACAAGAGTCGCCTTACCCTCAAGATAAAATATCTGAGCCATGGAATGAAGATGGTGAGGAGGCGGAAGACCAGCCAGAGAGAGGTGACGGTGGTCAGCAGCACCAGCCACACCCACAGGAAGATGTAGATCTACCAGGGACATGGGAATGAGTCATGCATTCACACTTGAAGACAGCTGCTTGACGTCACGTGCTCTTATCAGAGACACCTGATGGTCTCAACTTCAGACATGAAATCGACGCAAGATGAATACGTTGGACAGTTGCCAGCATAAATAACTCGGTTGGTAACTGATAAAACTGCAAATATTCTTAAGGTAAGCTGAATTTGGGTATTCTACGTTAGGTTAGATGGGTCTTAATATAAAATATAATATGTTGGTGAACACTTATGCACACAATTACCTGTATCCATTCAACGCATTCTTTTTAAATAATTATTTAGAGCATTTGAAGAGACATTTACTTAGTAATATATTTACTTAATGATTTTATTCCAGCTTCCAGGATTTTTTTTAAGTTTTAGGGACGACGATATATGATTGGATAAAAACTATGTAGGTTATATGTGTAGAAAAAGTCAATGAACATCGAAAGGCGAAGAATGGCGGAATGTTCTTCCTGTCTAAATCACATTTGAAGGGGCGTTGGTTACGGTTAGAAGATAGCAATGTAGAATTAATATAAACACAAACTAAGTGAAATTAATAAATCCTGATATGAAAAGCTTTAATGAAAGTTTTTTTTTGTAGAAGATTAAGTAAGGATACATTTTAAAAGGCACAACATGTATATGTAGTGTGCAGACGAGGAGTCACAATAACGTGGCTGAAATATGTTGACCAAACCACACACTAGAAAGTGAAGGGACGACGACGTTTCGGTCCGTCCTGGACCATTCACAATCGATTTGAGAATAGTCCAGGACGGATCGAAACGTCGTCATCCCTTCACTTTCTAGTGTGTGGTTTGGTCAACATGTATGTACTGTACTCTGAGCATTTCAAATATAGATCCAGTGACAGAAATACGGTTCACATAGGGATAAACTATCAGAGCATAAGGCTTAAGAATACGTTACTAGGTCCTAGATACCTATCAAGACGTATTATGAACAAGAAATGTGAAGGAGTGGTGACTGACCTTCTCGTTGATGATGTTAGTAGCGATGAGACACATGACGTCTCGCACCTGGATGGTTCCTGAAGCTCCGAAGCTCCTGAAGGTGCATTTAGCCATCTTGGGGAAGACGAAGGACATCGGGTCCGTCCGGTTCTCTGGGTCCATCCCAGATACAGCAAACACCTGTCCACGAAAAGAAGGCGAAAATTTGGTTTGGATTTCCATGGACAGGGGACAAGAAGCCTTGTAGGCTTATGTTAGTCCCTAGATAAGCCTAAAGACTGTTCTTACCTAGGATGTAACCCACAACAGTCGCCTAACTCCAAGTACCTATTTATTTATTTATTTATTTATTTATTTATATACAAGAAGGTACATTGGGATTATGAGGATAAATAGGATAGTATTTACAATCTTCTAAAGCCACTAGTACGCACAGCGTTTCGGGCAGAACCTATTTACTGAAGGGTGGATTGTTCCCTTAATAGAGAGAATCTCATTGTTTTCTTTAAATATATGAATCAAACAGTTAATTGTATAATTCACTTGATATTTATATATATATCGAGCTGAAGATCATGGAAAACTACGAGTTGGTTTTACATCTGTTGTCAGGGAAAGCACATGATGCTTTCATTTGACCACCAACACATGACTGCTTAACGATTCCTTCTGCGACACCTGACACAAGTTGAAGCTAAATTTTTTATAGAAAACATCTAATGAGACAATTTTTTTTTGCCTGGAGAATCTGTAGAAGTCCCGAGTCTACAGTAAGAGTGAGACAAACAGTTCGATGTCACAACCTATTATCCCAGACATTAGTAATGGATCACAGCAATATACGTAAGACGTTAAATAAACTAACTACAAGGGAAAAACTTACGTTGGAGCCGTATGTGAGAAACTCGCCGCCCAGGAACCAGTCAGTGAAGAAGAGAGTGGCTATCACCACGCCCAGGTTGAGGAATTCACAGAAGAAGAACTTGTGCGCCCATGTTGTGTGTCTGTCCATGTGGTGAATCACGTACTTCGACAAGGTGCGAAACCTTCAGAATAATAACGAAAAATCTCCAAGTGTTCCATGGATAAATGCTGAAGTATGTGACAATTGATGATTGACGAAAATATATTAAAAAATAGTAGTGAACACTTATTAATGAAATTTTCTTACATATCTTTCCGATTGACGTAGTTTTTGAGGTTTTTTCCCAGATAGTCTCGGATAGCGAGGTTCTGAATTGCCTGTTTGAAGAGGCCGCCCTCCCAAGCCTTCCACAGCCAGTGGGGCAGGTAGAACATCACGCCCTGGGTATAAAACACAGTCCCAAGAAGCCATGGAAATACTAAAACCAATGTAAGATTTTTAATGTGAACATTATTTGTCATCAGGAATGGAAGAAACGTTTTCGGAAATAAATGACAATTTAATAAATGGACTACAAATGAATTGAATAAATAGATAAATAAATGGCAAATCTGTATTTCCACCATAAATGATTGACAAAAATATAAAGAACATGGTAGTATTATCAGAGGTTCCACTAACTATATGGTAGTCACGATCTTATCTACCAGCATGTGCAAATGCATATTGTCTCGAGTACAGCAAGAAATATGAAAATTATTTACTATAGTGATGCATTGTTATAAATAAACAAACTATTCTTAGAAGACTTCTGACTTGTTTGCAGCTTTAGAAATCCCACAGCTCAGTTTTACAACTCAGCAGGGGGCATTGTGTTTTTTCTATGTGCCAGGCAATGTAGGTTTAGGCATGACTTGTAACATACATAAAGTATACACTAATTCACGTAGGAGATACAAAACATTCTCGCATACAAAATATGCGAGAATGAAGCCATTGTCAAGCTACATATTTAAAATTTGAAACATTTGCAAACAGAATATTATACAGGATACGATACTGCATATATATATATATATCTCCATTAGATGGAGTTAAATCAGTTACATATTTGGTTACAGGTAATACATATCTTTAACAAGTAATTACCTGGAAAAAGAGCACGAAAGGTACCCATTGATAATAAGTGTGGAAGGTGATTGCTTCTTCTGATTTGTGGGGTCCCACGCCGGGATGGGGGGCGTCGACCCCCACCTTGACCCCATGGAGCCGGTCCACGGTGAAGGTACCCATGATGAAGCAGTAGTTGTTGACCACCTTCCCGAAGGACGGCGAAGGTACCCCACTCATACAGTCAATCTTCTTGCCTTTGGATGATACGGTGGAGGAATCTGTTAGCATTTTCTCCCCTGCTTCTGGCATTCAGAATTTGTATCAAATTTCGAAGCTTTCAGAGAACAGAACATATTTATACTCTTTGAGACTTTCCGAAGTGGAAGAGGCTATAGTGATCAGGTATTTTTCTTGAGATAATAAACGGAGAAGACATGTGAGGAAGGTGAAATATGGCATTTATTAACCAGGAGAAAGGTATGATTCAGTGATTATTGAGGTCTTCAATATTAGGATTGGGACCGTAACCCCAATATTGGGGTTAAGAGTGAAGACTGTGCTGTTAGAGGCTAGTCTTTCTTTCTAATAACGTCACATAATTTATTTGGCTAATATTCACGTTAGATTGGCTAGTGATCTCTGTATTATTAAACATACAGTAAACATTCACTTCCCACAATAGCGGAACTGCATATAAAGACACGACATTAACTTACCAACGGTGTCATACAAGGAAGAGAAGAGCAACTTACCAACGGTGTCACACAAGGAAGAGAAGAGCAACCTACCAACGGTGTCATACAACTAAGAGAAGAGCAACTTACCAACGGTGTCATACAAGGAAGACAGAAGGGTTGCTAGCATGTATAAAAGATAAGTGTAGCGGTAGTGGAGACGGAAGGCTAGGCTCTCCACCACTGGCTTCACTTCCACTTTCACTTTAATAATCGATACTGCTCTGAAAACCATTGTCGTGTCCTGACTTTAGAGAACTAACACTTTGCCACAGAACCACTTTTTTTTCAAGATCTACCAGTTGCTTCGGGTAGGTTAGATATAGTCACTATCTCGTTCAGAGTACTTTAAGATCTTGTTTGGTTCCCTTAGGTGAGACAATCACTAACAGAGCACAAGCTCCCCAGTCTGCTAGCTGAGACTAAACTTACTCGCTAAATTGTAATGTGTCAAGAATATAAAATTATTTATCTTATCGATTTTAATTTAAAAATCAACACTACCCCGATGGATTAGGCTACAGAGTTTTATTGCGCTTGCTCTTATCTAGACGGAAAGGACTTAAGTTGGTGAATAATGCGATGTTATCTACTGAAAATCCATGAGTGTTTATGTATAATACCAAAGATACAGCTTTACTGAATTGGGTAAAAACAAATTGGAAACTGAAGTTTATTCCATAGTGGTAACACCCAGCCAAGAAGGTAACCAAAATGTACATATGTACAAGAAAATATTGATAAACCTTTGGTTTATAAGCCCGCTTCACCTGAAGAATCACCACACACGCCCACTCTACCTGCAGAACCAACACAAAGTCCGCTCCATTTTGGTAAATGAAACCTGAGGGACGATGTCCAATCTTGGAGTCATCGGTGTATGTGCTGGTAGCTGAGATATCAGTGTCGGATATCGTTAAAGCGCTGCTTGACTTCCTCCTCCGGTGTGACTCATTTCCGGACTGAGACTAAGAATGTGCAGACTTTGATGAGCAAAGGCTACCAGGGCACTATTTTTTTTAATCGTCAGATTAAAAAAATAAACTTGTGTCCAGTCAGGAGCAGTCGTGATAGAACTGATGGTTCTTCTAGGTGGTTGTGCAAGGGAAGGAGTGAAAGTTTTATTTTTCTTGGTCACCAGTAAATTGTATCGAAGCGTCAGGTGGTTGCGGCGAATTCGGAGGGAGGCACTTTTACTTAAAATTCCAGTCTCTGCACTCAAGTACAATGTAACGCTCAAAGACACTAAAACAAGCATTCTATAACTCATTTAGTCTCATCAGGGTCGTCTCACTCTGCATAGCTTACACTTGGAAGACATAGTCCAATTTAGACCAAGTTTTGTTGGCCTAATCAACTGGAAGAAACACCACAACACGCAATAATCAGCATACAGCCTGAATTTAAGGTTGCTGGATAAAGAAGTTGTACGATATCTCTATGAGAAACAAAGTTGGGTTTAGCATTGACCTGTGGCACCCCATTTTTTTGAAGAATTCATAATTGTGTATACTAACATCAGCGGGAAAACAGAATCAATATTTTACTTACCAAGATAAGTGGTATATTTACACCGAGGGGTGTATTGAGTTTAATTACTATGATCAAAACTAAAGTATACTTGCTGGATTATCATAGGCTACTGTGGTGGCACGAATAACACTTCAGAGGTTGATAAGCCCAAACCTCAGCACCAAATCAAAGCCACTTACCAATAATACCGTGTAAGGTGGAGAGCACCACGGACGTCATGTATATGAGGTAGGTGTAGCGGTAGTGGAGACGGAACACCAAGTTCTCCATAACCGGCTTCACGTCCACCTTCACTCTTACTTTCGTCAAAGCTTTGAAAGCCATCGTGATGATGTCTCTGGTGGTGAGGAAGCAACTCGCAACAGCACAGTAATCCTGAAACTTTCTCTGTTTTCTTAGGTCTTACTTCTCAAGTTAAGCAAAACATGATGAACGAAGTAACGTCTTCTTAGAATAATGTTGAGTTTTAGTTTTAAGTGAGACCAAAGTAATAGAAAAGTACGCTAGGCTCCTGCGTGGCGCTAAGAAATAGTTTATCTTAAGTTTCTGTGTGGCATTAGGCAGGATCACGAGTAAACTAGGCTGGGATTTTGCTAGGCGTGACTAACTCTCTTTCTCTCTCCGCTGATGTACCGAAACTGTCCATATCACTTCATCACCGGCACATCTCCAGGTCTATTATCTCAAGTGTAGTGATGACTGGATCACCAGGTAAGGATTATTTTCAGTACTATTGTACAGGTAATCAGACACTTAGCGACATGATTTCACTATGGTAACCTCTGCACTGATTTCTCTTATGTTTATTCCGTTTGTATTTTTTTCTTTCGTGCCTGTTTTCTACATTGGCCACTTACTCGGTTATTATTATTATTATTATAGTTATTAGTTTGTTTTATTATTTACTAGCGAATATAGAGTAATATGTTGATTGTAAACCATTCCACCAGCTCTTTTTGCTGAAGGCAACACCTCTTTATGGGACAAAATTATGATGATAATGTATTACTGTGGTTAGCTTTTTCAGGTCTGATGAAAAACTTAATTTGTTTTCTTTTAGCATAAATTAAAACGTTTAAACAAGGAAATGTTCCCTTGATAAAGCTGTGATGGAAAAGGAGAGGAATTAATGCATAAATTAAGATCAAAACATTCGAGAGTATTGAGTCATTGTGGTAGATAACTTAGGCTATTTCAATTGTAACTTCAGAAGATTGTTAATGGATTGTTAGCGTGTTTCCCCCAAGTATATTTGTAAAATGTTTTACAAATAAACAATGTAAAATTTTACAAATGTATATTTGTAAAATTTGTTTTACAAGTATATTTGTAAAATGGTTGTGTGGTGACCTGCAGGTTATGAGAGGTCATTACATCGTGGCCTTTCTTAAGGTCACCGTGGTTAGTGTGAGACATTCTATCTGATGTGAGCAAAAGGTGATTGTGCAGCACTACTAAGTTTAATTACTTGGGGGGATTGCTTGAAGACGTTTTAGGTATTTTGAAGTTTCCACCAATTATTGCCCTGTTACAAGCCGAGCAGAAAGCAGCTTGCTTATGTCTGGTCTCCAGATGACAAGCTGTTGACTCCTGAAGCTACATCACAGTCTCAAGCCGTAACATCCTTCTAGCGTGGCATTCGTAATTTTGTATTAAGAACGATCCGGCCTTTCCATATCAAATAATAAAAAAAAATTACCTAACATAGGATAAACACAGATAAACCCAGGTAAATATAATCTGGTCGAAGAACCGCGCGTTTCTTCCAGTCGCGAGTTATAATAATACATTTTGGGGAGTTTCAGACGCCATCATTTGCTAAAGAACATTTTATTAGCCATACATAACTGAACACAATCGTTTTGAACAAATCCACAAGGGCCGTGATGAGGGTTCGAACCTACGCATCAAGGCTCTTGTGGATTTGTTCATTTGATATATCACGCTAATTGTGATTTCTGAGTGTATACAATAGTTTTGTTACTGGCTGCAGCGCCACTAATTGGATACAATGCCACTTATCCTCTCCCTATTACACCCTCTACACATGTCACATAAATATCTTTGCGTGCAATATCATCATTGTTGATTATAAACAGCCTACACCTATCTCTGCATATTTATGTGGATTTTTCTTATATGAAAATATTTTCTTTTGTAAAAAAAATCACATACTTTTTATATATTTACATGAAATGTTAAATTATTATGCAAATTCGTGATAAATCTTCCATAGACATTACAGACCTATATATATATATATATATATATATATATATATATATATATATATATATATATATATATATATATATATATATGTCGTACCTAGTAGCCAGAACTCACTTTTCAGCCTACTATTCAAGGCCCGATTTGCCTAATAAGCCAAGTTTTCCTGAATTAATATATTTACTATAATTTTTTTCTTATGAAATGATAAAGCAACCCTTTTCTCTATGTATGAGGTCAATTTTTTTTTATTGGAGTTAAAATTAACGTAGATATATGACCGAACCTAACCAACCCTACCTAACCTAACCTAACCTATATTTATAGGTAAGGTTAGGTTAGGTAGCCAAAAAAAGCTAGGTTAGGTTAGGTTAGGTAGGTTAGGTAGACGAAAAAACATTAATTCATGAAAACTTGGCTTATTAGGCAAATCGGGCCTTGAATAGTAGGCTGAGAAGTGCGTTCTGGCTATTAGGTACGACATATATATATATATGTCGTACCTAGTAGCCAGAACTCACTTCTCAGCCTACTATTCAAGGCCCGATTTGCCTAATAAGCCAAGTTTTCCTGAATTAATATATTTACTATAATTTTTTTCTTATGAAATGATAAAGCAACCCTTTTCTCTATGTATGAGGTCAATTTTTTTTTATTGGAGTTAAAATTAACGAAGATATATGACCGAACCTAACCAACCCTACCTAACCTAACCTAACCTATATTTATAGGTAAGGTTAGGTTAGGTAGCCAAAAAAAGCTAGGTTAGGTTAGGTTAGGTAGGTTAGGTAGACAAAAAAACACTAATTCATGAAAACTTGGCTTATTAGGCAAATCGGGCCTTGAATAGTAGGCTGAGAAGTGCGTTCTGGCTATTAGGTACGACATATATATATATATATATATATATATATATATATATATATATATATATATATATATATATATATATATATATTTATTTATTTATTTATTTATTTATTTATATATACATTAAGTTATGAAGTTGTGAGTGATCATAGTGTTTTTTAATATATCTTGAATTTTCTTTTTAATGAAAAAGGCAAAAAGAAGTTAAGACATAACGTTGAGATTTATGATGCTTACATATTTCCTCAGATACTTGTGTGTGTGTCCTTCCACCGCCATCACTCAAATAATGTCATATGAAATTATCACTTAATATTACTGCTAATATTACATAGATTCTGGTAACATGTCATCCCACGACATGATAGGGTCGTGTGTCGCCCTGAGGCCAGTTAGCACCATGTGTCACTTCATCTCACATGCTAAGTGTCATGTGTCATTCAAAGACAAGTTGGAGTTGTCACCCTGCGACAACTTACAGCATGTGTCACTGCACACGATAAGAAGTGTTACATGTCACCTATAGACAATTAGTTAGCATGTCACTCTACGACTATAGTGCCATGTTATCCTACGAGAAGTGTGTGTCATGTGTCTCCCTACGAAAAGTGTGTCATGTGTCACTATTATGACACTAGCGGACACGGGCTCAACACAAGAAAACAGCAAAGAAAAAAACTTCAAATATGCATTGATTAAAAATTCTTCAACCCAATGAGTTCTGCATAGAATTTATTCATTAACATTAACATTTTGACATCTATGAATAATTCAATGACTGCTACATTGCTTCCAATGTTATACCTAACTGAAACTAACCCTAGATAACCTAACCTAACCTAATCTAACTATCCTGATCGAAACTAACTAGCCTGACCGAAACTAACCCTAGACATCCAAGATTGACCCTAATTACACGACCTGAACATAAGGCTTTAACAGTAAGTTTATCTATAATCTACGTATTGAACAAAGTCGAGGTCCTACACTGAACAAACTCACAACCCTGTACTGTACGTCGAGGTCCTGCATTGAACATACTCAAAACCCTGTTCTGAACGTCGAGGTTCTACACTGAACATACTGAAGACCTTGTACTGAACATCCAGGTCCTACACTGAACAGATGCTGGGTTCTCATCAGTTTATATCCAGGATAATTTTGGCCTCATTATAATTTCATCCAATTTATTTTTTTTATCTAGTTGAAATCTACCAATTTCTTCATCTATATCTTTATCATTCGATATTCCCTTGTCAGTTGGTTTGTCTCATCTCTACGTTGTCTACAACTTTCTTGGTTCATAGATCAAGCTTATATTGGTGTTGCTTCTTAGTTATATGTCGTGGTTCATCACAAGAGGGACATTTATACCTCGAGCGTCGTCCTCTACACCACTTGTAAATATTTCTTCACATCCAGTTTTTTGGGTACATGTTTTTGTTTAGTTTTTAATATTTTGTTGTAATTTCCAAGGATGATTCTATTAGCTTCCTGGCCATATTGAACACTGGCACCCATGGCTACTTCATGATTGGTACCTCAAGGTTGGTGCCTTACTATTGGTACCTCATGATTAATATTTTAACGACTGGTACCTCACGATTGATGAATCAAGATTTGTGTCTTATAACTCGCTCCTCACGACTGGTACCTCAAGAGTTCGTACTTTAAGATTGGTATCTCGATTAGTTCCTTATGATTGGTACCTAAAAACTGGCCCCTCACAACTGTTACCTTAAGATTGGTACCTCAAGGATGGTGTCTCACGATTAGTACCTTAAGGCTGGCACCCCAAGATTGGAAACCCCTTTACAGCAGTCTTCAACTCTGTGTATCCCCAGCACCTCCCACGCCTCATAATGGCATTATCTTGTCCTCGTCCATGGGTAGGGTGTCGGTGGAGTTCGAGAGGTCTCCTGCGAAGTAGTGGATGAACTCGCTGAAGACATTCGTCTCCATATTCCTGCCCAGGTTGTATATGAGGAACCAATCACTGAGGGAGGTCTGCTGCATCACCGTCGCCACATCAGCTTGCATTTGAGGCTTTACCAACAACTGAAATTCAAGTGACTTTATCAAATTTACATAAGACAAGTTCAGATCACATTAAAAGTATGCAAGTTGCATTTTAGTAATATTAAACTTGAAGCAAATGTAAGTGAATTGAAGGTTAATTTTTTCAGTAATGTAATTCATAATATAGAGTTAATTTTTGTTAAAGGTTGTGTTGGAAGAGAAGATCGTGTCGCTCTTATGCCATCAGGATGGCTTCCTGATGGTCACCATCAGGAAGCCTCTGTTCTGATCTGATCACAAAATAGCTCGAAGTAGCATTAATATTTTAATCACATCTCTTCCCTTTGTATATAATATAAAATCAAAAGTATTTAACCACGTTTAGTATCTTCGACATTTGAAGATTCGAGGTCCCTTGATGTTTCACGAAGACGTTGTATATCATTACCAAAAACAAGGAAATCATTTGTTGAAGGAGTTAAACAAAGTAGGTGAGTCTACCTGCAGGAGGAACCGTCTGAAGGCGGGTACGAGGAGCGTGAGGAGGCGGAACACCAGGTACATGGAGGTGGCGGTGGTCAGCAGCACCAGCCACACCCACAGGAAGACGTAGATCTGCATCAGGAGAGAGATACCTTGGTCAGCTTGCTCTCAGATGCAAGATCCAGGGAATAATAGTCATTACGATTTGTGTGCTGCGAGTTAAGTGATGAGAATTGCAATGTGACGATGATGGTAGCAGCAGGTGTGACATTGGTTACAGAAAATAGCAGGTGTGGTTCCACCAGGAGCAGTAAAGGTGATGATAACGATGTCAGTACAAGCCCCAGCAGTAACACGAACAGTGGAGTTGTCAGCTATAGCAATACTGTACCCCTGTTGCCACCCCAGGGCAATATTACAGCCACTCAGTCAACAACAATTGAGATTACATGCCTCTCTAATCTGAGTGGCCAAACTTTGATACTATGTATCAAGATCTCTGTCTCCTCAATTACAAAGTTCTTTTATCATGTTTGATTATCGGTCTTATATTCGAGAAAATACTCCTTAATATGTTAATTTCAAAGTATTGTATACCAACTTTAAATTCTAGTGGTCTAAAAGGTTCAAAGCTATAAAATTACAGACTTAAATGTTATTGTGACTCATCGTTTGCATACAGACTTTAATGACCTTAGAATATTAATATTTAAATATACCCGCTAAATTCTCTAGTGTCATGGTCGTTCATCTTCAAGAGGAAACTAGATTGTTTCCTTCAAGGAGTGCCGGACCAACCGGGTTGTGGTGGGTATGCGGGCCTGCGGGCCGCTCCAAGCAACAGCCTGTTGAACCAAACTCTCACAAGTCAAGTCTGGCCTCGGGCCGGGCTTGGGGATGTAGAAGAACTCCCAGAACCCCATCAACCAGGTATATGTGGGCCTGCGGGCCGCTCCAAGCAACAGCCTGGTGGACCAAACTCTCACAAGTCAAGTCTGGCCTCGGGCCGGGCTTGGGGGAGTAGAAGAACTCCCAGAACCCCATCAACCAGGTATATGTGGGCCTGCGGGCCGCTCCAAGCAACAGCCTGGTGGACCAAACTCTCACAAGTCAAGTCTGGCCTCGGACCGGGCTTGGGGGAGTAGAAGAACTCCCAGAACCCCATCAACCAGGTATCAACCAGGTTCATCCCCCCCCCCGCTCCCCCAGCACCTTCCCCTTTATCACTCTGTATCAGACTTAACAAATATCAATAATAAGGTTCGCGAGTAGCGAACGGGTTCACAGATTATCGATACACAAGGCGCATTCCACAACCATTTGGTGGAAAAAAAATGCACCCTTTGCCTTTCGTGGCAATTTTACATTTGACTGAAATATGCCAAAAAAATATTGATATCAGAAATGTAAGAGTGGTGACTGACCTTCTCGTTGATGATGTTAGTAGCGATGAGACACATGACGTCTCGGATCTGGATAGTTCCTGAAGCTCCGAAGCTCCTGAAGGTGCATTTAGCCATCCTGGGGAAGACGTAAGACATCGGGTCCGTCCGGTTCTCCGGGTCCATCCCAATCATCCCAAATACCTGCGTATGGCCATAATATTTATTATCATTCAGATATATGTAATTCAAGATCAAGTATGTTTATTGAGACAAGAAAAAAATACATCTCAAAGGGATAGAATAGTTTAGGCTATTTCTACCCCACCATATATATAATAACCTCATCTGATGTTAATAGTTTTTGTTTTGCCTCAAACATTATTAGATGAAGATATATATAACTTTTAAAGACAAATTTTTAACATTATTGTTCTGAAATGTTACATTATATGGAAATTAAATTTGAGACGATTGTAATAATGTGTAGATGGGCTTACTTTGACGCCGTATGTAAGGAACTCGTCACCAAGAAACCAGTCAGTGAAGAAGAGAGTGGAGATCACTACGGCCAGGTTGAGGAACTCGCAGAAGAAGAAGGAATAAGCCCAGTTCTTGTGACTGTCCATGTGGTGGTTGATGTATTTGGACAGTGCCTCGAACCTTTCAAAAAATCATATGGTTTATGTTTATTACTGTATGATGATAATAAGACAAGTGAGATAAGATATCTTGATATATTGATATGATCAACACGATAAATGTCAACAAATATTTTTGACACAAGGAACTGCTTACCCCTTTTCACGGTTGAAATAATTATCGAGGTTGTGGCCGAGATAATCACGAACAGAGAGATCTTGAATTACTTGTTTAAAGAGTCCTCCTTCTCTGCTCTTCCACAGCCAGTGAGGAACATAGAACATTACACCCTGAAAGTAAACAAAGAATACTCATTAAATGAAGGAAATGAAGTCAATATACATCTCGTAAATTTAAATCACTGCGCATATATAAGATTTTAATCGATATGTATCATACTAATGATTGATAACAATACTTATAAACAAGAACAATTACCTGGACAAAGAGGACAAAAGGGACCCACTGGTAGTAGGTGTGGAAGGTGATTGGTTCTTCTGACTGCTGGGGTCCCACGCCCGGATGGGGGGCGTCCACCCCCATCTTGACCCCGTGGAGCCGGTCCACCGTGAAGGTACCCATGATGAAGCAGTAGTTGTTGACCACGTCATTAAAGGCATCGGAGTCGATTCCCGATATGCAGTTAATTTTGTCGCCTGTGGAAGGAGAACGATAAGTTGCGAATTCCACGAAGTGTCAACAGATTACTTGATAGTTTCAATTCATATATGAATGAATTTGGGTGGGTATAAACTGAAGCTGCCTCGTATGAGTCAGTAGGTCTTCTGCAGTTTCCCTTCTTCACATGTTCTCATGTTTATTAATATGTAGATTTCTTCAGAAGAAAGATGGTAGAAGATTTCTTCTGCTCGCAATCTAGTTATGTTAGTTATTCTTATGTTTTGAAGAGATTATCTTCATATTTAATTAAAGAAGCCTAGGCTTAATATGCTCATTTTTAGGCCTAACACAGTACATATATATATGCTATACTAGGCCTAGGAATGTTTACGTTTGGGTTTGGCCTTTTTCGGCGCCCTTTACAAAATGAATACTATAAAACGTGAACATTGTTGGCTGCAACAGTACATTTTGTACGTTCGACCAAATAGTTGTTTTAAGTACAATAATTTTAGGAAGATAGGTTGAATAAACTGTTCCTAAATTTTTTAGGAACTCTGGTATTTGTCAGGAACGAATTTTATGTTACAATATTATCCCAGCGGGTAAAATATGTTTGAGTAACATTTAATCAAAGTTGGATCGACGTTTTCAGCATTAATGTTACATTATTAACGTCATTTACCCGGGGAGGTTAGGCTACATGTTTAAGGCAAATCAACAATTAAATTTCCTTTTAATTTCAATATATTATACCAAATAATTGAAAACAATCAGCAATTTTAATTGCGTACAATTGATATTGCTCACAAGTTTAGCGTTGATCTGATTTTCAGGGCTGCAGGCGGCGCTTCCCACGCTGGGTCTGATAGCATTAGTCATGTGTCCCACGCTGGGATGGGAGGCGTCGACCCCCATGTCTCCAACTGTCCCCATTACAAATTTGTTGCGACATAGAGGTGTAGCATATGTCAAGGGTCGTTTTGCAGTGCGCGGTGCGGCCGTCAGTGAAATACACTTAATCTGTCGACCAAACCACACATTTAAAAGTGAAGGGACGACGACGTTTCGTTACGTTGTCGACTTAAGACTTTAGCCATTCTCAATAGACTTGAGAATGGTCCAGGACGGACCGAAACGTCGTCGTCCCTTCACTTTCTAGTATGTGGTTTGGTCAACATATTTCAGCCACGTTATTGTGACTCCTCGTCTGCACAATTAATCTGTCTCTTTACTTGGCGAGACGAACTTGGAGAGTTCCCACGTGGAAGTATACAAGGCAGACATGAATAAACATTGCAAAGTTTTAGAGACACTGGAAAATAACCTGTTCAACTGTTTCAGGTATCATAGTACCAAAATCAATTTTTAATAAAAAAGTGATCACTTTTAAAGTGCCTTTCGACATCCAACACATATTAGAGGAAGGAGACCTCTCACTACATATAAAATACCAAACAATCAAAACATTGACTAAACCTCTCCAGTCTACCAATAAATTTAGCCACAAACAACCTATTTTAGCAATTCAAATCACCCCGCTAAACCAAACATAGAAAACGTAAAAATTGAAATGTTGGGACAAGCGATCAGCTGACCATCACTACCACCATCGTTGTTGTTGTAGTTGAAGATTCGCTCCTTGGAACAAAAAGTTCCGAGTAGCATGGGCTATGGTGAGCCCGTAATACCGCCACGATCGTCGTCGCCCCTCAATTAACAACAACAGCACTCATCACCGCCAAGTGTTCACATCAAGTCTAACCACAGGAAGCATGATCTCCACTGCTTGAGGGATCAGGAAGCCTGAATCGGTTGGACTGAAGCTCTGTACTCAAACAAGAACTCATCACCATATATTTTAGCTGAAGACAAACAAAATTGGTTTCCACTAGAGATAGTTTAACAGGTAAGGTACCATAGTCAATTTTATATTTCGCACTTGTCTACAATCCGTAATACGTAACTTAGTTCTCTGACACCAGGTAGATTTAAAAGTGCTAAAGCTCTTGTAGACGGGAATGCATGGCTATAACACTTATCTTGAAGTTATCTTGAGAGGATTTCGGGGCTTAGCGTCCCCGCGGCCCGGTCCTCGACCAGGCCTTTTTGTTACACATCCCCCAGGAAGCAGCCCGTAGCAGCTGACTAACTCCCAGGTACCTATTTACTGTTAGGGAACCTATTCACATGGAGCCAGAGACGAACTACATGGCTCTATAAATTAATTTCTTGTGGGAACACACAACCCTCCTTAGCATATTCCCCATTATTTGCTTAGGTCAGAGATGCCACAAGGGAACAAACAGGTGACCCATCTTCAGTACACACACCACCGGGGAGAAGGAGGGTGGAGGCCTGATAACAGAGACTGCGACTATGCTTCTGTGTGCTCCCAGGGAGACTTAGACCAACACGACCAAGCAGAAGTAAGTGTGAACACTGTGGGCTACCAAATGGACATTCCAACAGCCCAAACTTACTCAACATGCCCGAAACGCTTTGCGTAATAGTGGCTTTAGGCATTGTATGTACTAGCTCCTATCTATAAAGCCAACAAACTTTGTAAAATCTCTTTATGTATGTACCTTTGCCTAAATAAAAATTATTATTATATATTATTATTATTATTATAACATAAATCAATTCCAGCAGCTAAAGGGTCACTTGAAAATTATAATCCTTTGTATGTCGTTCATTAACGGCTGAAGTCCTTTCCTTATACTTACAACTAAACACTACCCTTAGGCCTGGTTATGCACAAAACTATAATATAATACTGGTTTATATTTGAGAAAATAAAAACTTATAACAAAGTACGGTAACATTTACAAATGTGTCTGGGAATGACATGAGCGCACACAGTCTCTGATGCTGTCTAAGAGGAGTTCCTTTAATACCTTAAATACCTTAAATACGATATATTTCTCAACAAAATAATTACAATTATAAACCGCTTTGTATCCTAAAACCATCCCCGGGCCAAATGATACCATAAAATGTTAGGTCTTAGGTCAGACTAGGTTCAGAGGTGTAAGAATGTTTAATATGTAATATCCAAATTAAATTTATAGAACCACATAAAGTTGCAAAATTTACCTTGTTAGTGCCTAGTGAAAAGCCCATTCAATAGCTACTCATAAATAATAGCCTAGTCATTATAATCCTCATGGGAGAAGTGCATTAAAGACTCACCTATAGCATCATAGAGCGTACATAGCAGCATGCATACCATGTATATTGTGTATGTATATCGGTAGTGGAGGCGGAAAATAGTGTTATCCACCACGGGCTTCACTTCGACCTTTATTTTTATGGTCGAAATTGCCTTGAAAACCATTGTTGCTTCCTTTTGACAACACGATTAAACAATCAAATAATTGCAGCCACTTTAGGCTAGAGTCAGAGTGAACACAAATTTGAAGACACTGGGCGAGGTGGTAAGGCCAAGAGCTATGGTGAGTTACTGAGGATTCATCGCCGGCCCTGAATTACACACTGGAAATAACATATCTAATCTACATTTCTTATCTGACAACGCTGATATCTTTTCGAAGAGCTTCTTGTAAATTCTTACCAATGGAGTCAGTATAAACTGACGTTTGGGCAGAAACTAAGAAGAGTAGCGATAAAGAAGGAAAATAGGCAATATACTCCCAAGGTAGGAAGGCATACCTTGGGCTCCGTTGTCAATCCCTGGAAAATGTTGCGTCAATTGTTAAGCATTTCCGAGCACTGGCGTACTTCCTACCGTATTCAACATTTATTTGTCATTTAATGTGGCTGAGCCACTTGCTTTTACTAGCATTGTGTGGGGAAAGTGTGTGGGTAACAGTGCACAACCACCTGACTGTCATTTCCTTTAGTTAGACATGCTGTTCACCCGTTAATTTAAATTATTTCCACTCTTTGTGGGGGAGGGGGGGTTAAGGGGCAGAATGGGGGGAGGGGGAAGATTAAGACGATAAAGTCATTCTCTAACATAACCATTTTTCCCCTGACGATGTCACAGGAAGTGACATTATATGTAATCTTTTTCATTGGAAATATATCCATCTGCCTTTCATCCAGCCAGGTGATATTATTTTTTATCAATGAGATTAGGAAGCTGTAACTCATATGAGTATAGGAACACTGGTGTTAGACATAACATGTGCTCTGTTGTAAAATATTACTAAGAAGGTGTTACGATATCACAATCAAGCATACCATTACTCAGTCTTGTGTGAATCATACTCACGTTCAGCATGAGTATGATTCACCTATGAATCATACCTATGAGCATGAGTATGATTCACCTATGACTATGATTTCAGACTGCCAGAAATATTTGATGTATGTTAGGATGATAAATTGTTGTAGTGAGGTTGATATTAGCTTTTATCGACGCGTTCTTGTATTATTTTGGACAAACAAAATGGCCCTTGACTCAATTGGTGACACTTTTGACCCAAGTTGGGAGACCTCTGACCCAAGTTGTGACACTCCTGACCTAACTAAATATCATTCAAGAATAATTACGCCAATGTTCAATTCCTTCGTCATTCAGAAACACCACAATAATTACCGATCGTCAATCACCTGCTCAACAGGTTCATGTAATTAATCTTTGCTCTCACATGATAGCCTAATGATCTCGTCATTAGTGCAATTAATCTTTGCTCTCACATGATAGCCTAATGATCTCGCCATCAGTGCTACATGAATTACTTATCATTTAATACCTCCTTCCCAACTACACGATACTTGCACCTACCTGATTTCATGCACGACATTGACACCAGTTGACTTGTAAATTTGGAAGTTCCCTCCACTTAAGTATCAAGGTCAGTATGTGGAGATCAAACTGGCTGATTCACATCAAGGATGTGCATCTCGCCTCGTCATTTTGGTTGTAAATGTGTAAGTATATACAATTAATGTTTCCATACAGGGTTACACAAGCTTGTCCTTCGCATAATGGTGATGCGCTGTCATGATGGACCGGCCCGCTTATGCGTCTTGCGCAAGTCTTGTCTAGTCTCCACAGTTCTACAGTTTAAGTCTCGTGGGAGACACCGGCGGGAATTAAAATAAAATCAAATCAAATGTTTATTCAGGTAAAGTATATACATACAAGGTGAGATACAAAACATTGATGGCTTTATAGATAGAGCTAGTACATACATTGATGGCTTTATAGTTAGAGCTAGTATATACAATGTCTAAAGCCACTATTACGCAAAGCGTTTCGAGCAGCGGTAATTTGTCGCCGCTGTGGCCAGGAGGTTTGTCGATTTGCCGTTTTCTATTCGTTGGTCCTCGGGTAGGTTAGGTTGGGCCAATTTAGTACATCATTTTAGTGACGTCGTGAACGTTTGAGAAGACTGGTTGCTTAGGCTGTATTCTGCTTCTCTGTTTATATAGAGTGAGATTATATACATTGCCTGTATATACTCTAAGTTAGTGCTGGACCATGTTAAGGATTAGAGTAAATTGGTTGGACAGTGAGCAGTTGTGGTAGCCTTAATGGCACTCAGGGAGTTGATAGGTGTTTAGTTCAACACAAAGGAATGGCTGCGATTTATCAATGTCCTCTCGGCCACTTCTCTGATATTCCCACCAAGACTGATGCGAGGACATGAGCGTCAGACGGCTGGCAGCCTACACACCCAGAGACAATTAACCTAACAAGACCCGACCATGGACAGGCTACATCAGAAAAGGACGGCACAAATCAAGCAATCACACATTAAGGGGCTCAAACAACTAAATTGCAAGGGAGGAGGCGAGGCAGAGCTAAGGGTATGTTGCATGCGGGTGTCGGGTGTTGCTCCTCTGTCCCTTCTCGTCTTGTTGTAACATCCACGGCACTCCCTTGTGCAACACCATCCACATGTATCAGGTTGGTGTTGCTCCCGCATTCCCATAACAATCACTAGTCGCAACTACAATCACTATGTAGTCGCAACACCCTACTTCAGTCCCTACACTGCCTTACGCAACACCCTACTTCAGTCCCTACACTGCCTTACACAACACCCTACTCCAGCCGCTACACTGCCTTACGCAACACCCTACTCCAGTCGCTACACTGCCTTACGCAACACTCTACTCCAGTCGCTACTCTTCTGTACTGGGGAATAAATTTCATAATTATCCTATTATGGCAAGCCTTTTTGCTGAGTCCCATGATAACGCCCTTTTACCCTGGTGCAGCAGAGATGTGACACATAAGGTCTGCAGAATGTATGATGTGCAAAACTACACATATTAGACCTATATTGGCACTATATGTTGCGATAATTCTGATTGGCAGGTGGCATTGTTTATGTGGGGAATGATGCTCATATTGTAGCCCCAATTTCCACTCATTCGTTTTAACTAATATATAGTTGTTTCTGTTATTTGTTTAGTGACTGAAACAATTACTTCAGTAACTGTTATATACACCAAGCCCTGTACCCCTGTTCTGGGTGTATATACACTGACAGTATACTTTAGTCGTGGACTCTGAACAGGACTAAAATATGGCCTTAGTAAGTCTCGCGGCTGATGGACCTCAAGCCTAATACTGTACCAAATTTTCAGTAATATTAATAGGTCGTTGGTTTTTCTCGTCAATAACTCAAATGCTGAAGCAGTATTTACCTACGGTTTTAACATAAATATGTCCCAATTTGGTTTCCTGTGGTCAGCGACAGGTAACCTGTGATATCGAGGAATATCACAGGTTATAGGGATATCGAGGTTTCCCTTGCTAAAGGACTGGCGTTCCTCAGGATGCAACCTACAACAGTTGCCTAACTCCCCAGTACCTATTGTACAGCTAGACAAACCGAGGGATCTGGTATACGGACAGTGCCTGGGTTAAAGAGCAACTACGCAGTGGCAGAGGCTACCAGAGTGTCAAGTCATCAGTGAGGGTGTGGGAGCAGCTGGTATTATTGGGCAAGTGTGGTTCATGCGGGCTGCTGCTGCTAGGTCCTAGCTCCTAGCTCTCTCCCTCATTGGTCAACTCGGGCAGTGGGACATGTGTGATGCTGGTGTGATAATCAACCTCACTTGTCGCGGTTTACACAACAATTGTTTTTAAATTAGAGCGCTAGGGTATTTTATTGAAATATATTCAATTTTCGGGATATACATGCATTAGATCAGCCATCTTCCTCAATACTTTGTAGCTGGTTTATATATATACTAATTTAGCATAATATATCCAGTGAAATATATCCCCACAAGGAAGCAAATTACAGTTCCACTATATTTTACGTCAGTCACTCACCTCACAAACTTTCCACCCAGAGGAGTCATCAGTCTCCATCACAGATGTACTCAACTCACCTCCCCCAGTGATACTGCCTCCTGGTTCTTAACTAAGAATATTATACTCTATCTTTCTGGTGAAGATCACAGTCAGAGCTGAAGTGAATACAATATGACGGGGGTTATCTTGAGGTTATCTTGAGATGATTTCGGGGCAATTTAGTGTCCCCGCGGCCCGGTCCTCGACCAGGCCTCCACCCCCAGGAACCAGCCAGTGACAGCTGACTAACACCCAGGTACCTATTTTACTGCTAGGTAACAGGGGCATAGGGTGAAAGAAACTCTGCCCATTGTTTCTCGCCGGCGCCTGGGGACCTGGGAGAGATAGATGGTATGTACAAATGTCAGAATATCAACATTTTATCACTGGCACCATAACACATTGAAGAGTCTGATATATAGTCACTTCTATACCTAATATCTCTTACTAATCAGCTCGCCCTCTTAAGATTTCCCAGCGTCAAGAAACTGTCGTAGTAAATTGCCCTTATCCTAACCTACCCAAAACAGAAAACGGGACAATACGTCAGTTTCGCGAGCCACTACCATTTTCTAGTATGACAGTTTTTGGTCTTAGGTAGAGTATATGTCAAAATACAACGTTCTATTAGGAGGACGGGTTTGTACTAGTAATGTATGTGAAGACTCGGGCATATGGTGACACTGAAAACGTTTATCTGCTTGAAAATCACCAGGGGAACCTCGGTAAAGAGCTTATCCGCTTGAAAATCACCATGAAAACCTCGGTAAAGAGCTTATCTGCTTGAAAATCACCAGGAAAACCTCGGTAAAGAGCTTATCTGCTTGAAAATCACCAGGAAAACCTCGGTAAAGAGCTTATCTGCTTGAAAATCACCAGGAAAACCTCGGTAAAGAGCTTATCTGCTTGAAAATCACCAGGAAAACCTCAGTAAAGAGCTTATCTGCTTGAAAATCACCAGGAAAACCTCGGTAAAGAGCTTATCTGCTTGAAAATCACCAGGAAAACCTCGGTAAAGAGCTTATCTGCTTGAAAATCACCAGGAAAACCTCGGTAAAGAGCTTATCTGCTTGAAAATCACCAGGGGAGACCTCGGTAAAGAGCTGAATACTGATGATCTGTATGCCAGAGCGCATCTTACCCACACATGAGCTGAACTCTGAATCATAATATTATTCTTACTATCTGGTTTTGACTTTTTGCTACTGTAGTTTGGCCTCGTATGATAACGGAACACTGACTTGTGTTCTTACATTAACATTCATCAAGTAACAAGACCGTTCTTATTATAATCTAATGAGCTCATCTAGCTATGTAAAACCACCATATTCCTTTTTTTTCATAGTTGTGATCTAAAAACACATTTTTTGTCTATAATAATTGATATTAGTGCCAATATACCGTAGCATAATTTCGGAACTCAGTGGAGTTCTGAGCAGAGTTTCAAATGGGCAGAGTTTCTTTCATCCTGATGCATCTGTTCACCTAACAGTTGTGTTGGTGAGGCACTTGGGAGGCCCGACCACCCGAGGTCACCATATGTGGCACCAGTGTTTTGTAACGTGGAGGACAGTGTGTGTGTGTGTGTGTGTGTGTGTGTGTGTGTGTGTGTGTGTGTGTGTGTGTGTGTGTGTGTGTGTGTGTGTGTGTGTGTGTGTGTGTGTGTGTGTGTGTGTTGCCAATCCGCAGCAGCTCAAGTATCTCCTTACTGACTACGGGCTCACCATAGCCCGTGCTACTTGGAAATTTTTGTTCCAGGTAGCGAATCTTAAACAACAACTCCTTACTGAGGCCAGGGTGTAAATGTAAGCGTGTTATTGATCCTCGTTTCCAAGTGGTGGGGACTGGAAGCCTGCTGATGTCCCATTAACTCAATGGCTTGGCGGGGAGGGGGGGTGGGGGAATATATATAAATATATAGTGTTAAGTATGAGATAGTGATATTATCTCAAAAGATGTTACTTTTATCGTGCAGTAGTGATAAGGTTCAGTGTGTCTGGCCTCATAGTCTGACCCAGGCCGGGACCGCCATGTAAAGCATGTTGTATCATTCGGCTCATCTGATGAATCTGAGATGCTCTGCTAAATATAACTTGTCCTAAGCTAAACAAGCTGTATCTCTTTCAGATTAGCCAGACCCACCCTACTATTTCTAATTATAATCGTAAAAAAATAGGATTCGTATATACAGAACAGGACACGCTAGGATTTCTTTGGTTCAAATCATGCTTGGTTTGGTGTTTAAGTGAAGCCTTATCGACCTCTGGAGGGTTACTAAACGTTACAAAAGCCTACTGGCTAACCAGCAAGAATATGTTAATCGTGAACATAATCTAGGACTAACGTATTATATAAGGAATCATTTTTAGCTTTTGATTATTTTACATATTGGCTCGATTAGTTTTTTTCAGATTAAAGAGGAACTTTGATTTAATTATTTAGGGATTACTGGACTAATATTTAAACAATTATAACACAACTTCAAGAGAAAACTAGATAGTTTTCTTCAAGGAGTGCCAGACCAACCGGGCTGTGGTGGATATGTGGGCTTGCGGGCCGCTCCAAGCAACAGCCTGTTGAACCAAACTCTCACAAGTCATGCCTGGCCTCGGGCCGGACTTGGGGAGTAGAAGAACTCCCAGAACCCCATCCAGCAGGTATCAAGCAGGTGTCAAGCGCCGATATCAAAAGTAATCTCTAGGACAACTCGACCGCTGCAGGCGCCTTGCGAGAAGTCAATGACTGGAGGAGCTGGCCTTGAAGGGCCGCTGGTAAGTCCACACTATCCTCATGCAACTGCAATTGCTGCCTCACCGCTACTCTCCTCTATCGCACGCCTTCACACACACACACATACACATTAGTTGAGTGACGGTTGAGAGGCGAGACCAAAGAGCCGAAGTTCAGAACCCCCGCCAGCACAACTAGGTGAGTACGCAGCTCACCACAAGAGGTCAACCCACCGGACGTACCACCACCGCTGCCAAGGCTAGTCGGGCTCCCAGGCATTTCTCATGTTTCCAGACCTTGTGTCTCGCTCTCGCACCTTCATTAAGGTCCCAGACTCATGGTATGCATAAAAACAAAATACCAATGTGAATGCAGCGCAAACATTCCTGCGATATCGCAAACACATTTGTGAATCCACCACAGTAGCTACCGTGTACACACCATGTATTTTATGAAGACGACCTTATATACTAATGATCCAAATACTCAAGAAGCAACATGACACCTTGCAACACAACTCGATACAAAGATTAATCTCCAGTCAGGTTGACGTGATCGACATTAATTGTAGATAGGTTTAATGTTAGGCTTTAAGGAACGTGAGATTACTGACGCTACAGCAAGCTTTCTTACACTAGCCTAACAAGTATATGTAGTCCTGAACTGCATACAAGCGCATTTAATATGGCACATGTGCCCAAGATGTTTCAGGACATTCCTAAATTAGCCTCAGACTGGTAGACCAAATACAAACAAACTCACACTCTCACCTATATACGCCAGCTCTCATTCTGGAACATAGGTCTCTCACTAGGAACCGGTAAAAGCCTCATGCCTCAACACTTGAAAATGTTTCAATCTCAGGTGTTCCAGGGCCGGAAGTCGCCAGTCACTCGCACACAGGAATGTTGCAAGACGGAAATTCCAAACTTTCCTTCCTAGAAGTTGTAACCCTGGCGAGAGCACCGCGGCTCACAGTCGCTATTGTCACTATACCCGCCGTCAGAAAATATAGGTACTATTACAAGGAAATTCAGGATATAAAATTTGAAATGAATTTAGATGTGGGAAAATATAAGTTTATGTGAAATCTATGCGATATGCTGTTTCCAGTTTATATCAGCAGTGTGGTATAACTGTACGGTTTTGTTACTTGCTGTACAAGTAACAAGTTGTATACAAGCTGCATACAACTTGTATACAACTTGTTTGTACTACTGACATGTTTATATTATTAACATGTGTGTATTATTAGTTTGTCTTCATGTTATTACTATTTTTTATCTTTAATAAAATTCAATATAAATCATATATACATCAATTATGAACACTTGTTTAATGAGAATTATACTACTGTATATGTAATGAAATATTTCCTTGTAAAATTTGTTATTACTAAGTAGATGATGTATTTTAAGCGGTAAGGCTTCACAACTCATAATTCTTCGTCTTGCTGTGTAAATGACTCCTTTAAATATCTTCATAAGAGAGGTTTCTAATTCGTGGAATTAACTTGTGCATCCTTCCCTTAGTCCTGGTCTGACGACTACATCCCTCTTGGAAACTAATTCACATCAGAACATTGTCTTTCTGAAGCCCAGCCACAAAACAAGGGGCACAAACCCCATTCCGTGAAGTAGCTTTCTCCTCTACCGTCATGTAAAATGAATGACTGTGTAGCCAAACCGGCCCGAGTTTAAGCCATGGGCAAGGAGGGAGGGCCAGTTAGGCACTGATCTCAGACTATTTGTCCCTGTTCACATGCCAGTAATTCGGGAACATGGTTGTAAAGCGATTAGAGGATCGTGTTCCATGGAAGGCTAATATGGCAAGGTTTAGATAGGCGTTGAGAGAAGCTACCTTGAGGCTACCTTGAGGTGCTTCCGGGGCTTAGTGTCCCCGCGGCCCGGTCGTCGACCAGGCCTCCTGGTTGCTGGACTGATCAACCAGGGACAGAGAGAAGAGACATCTCTTAGCCTGTATGCACGACGGAAGCTTGTGCATACAAGTCGCCAGCTTGTGTGCCTTCAGTGTAAATTAAACAAAAAAAGTGTTTTACACAATTGTGTTTGAGCATTTCTCGAAAGTGATTTACACACGACACAATTGATTACAATGGAGTTTTCTCGAAAACATGCTTCACTCTCATCCTGTATATGACGAGCACTTTTCGAAATGTTTCATTCGCGTTCTTAAATCATAAATTGACATTCGTTGAAGAAGCAAAATATCCACAGAATAGTGGCGAAAAGTTTTGATGGGCAGAGTGAACGTAAATAAAAATGACTGAATGGATTATAAACAAAAGCTGCCTCGTATGATTACTGCAGTTTCTTTTATTATTATGTTTAGTCGAAACAGCCTCATGAATCTGAGATGGTACAGCATAAATCATGAAAACAAATC